CAAAACCCGTTAAAAACATTTAATTTGTACACAGGACGAGTGGTATGAAATTCTATAGGATTGTTCGTTGATAATTGAAATTTGTACAGGATCCTGATCTTCGGTGTCTGTCTACACACTAAATTGAGTTGGCTGAATGACCCAGATACTGTCTGAAGCACAATTATCAGGTTTTTGCCCCTGAAGGGTAAATAGAATGTAACCAGTTTGAATGGCAGAAAAAAAAAAAAAAAAAAAACGAAGTAGCATCACTCATGATATTCCAAACTCCTACTTAGGCAGTATAGCCGATGACACATAGTCATGGGCTTGCTCCTCAGTGAGACCCAAATCCTCCACAAGGCCATGGACTATCACATTTCGATAGGACTCCGGAGGAGCAAAAGTACCGAATTCCCCAGATCTGAATTTCTTCATGTGAGATTCCGGACACCTGCACATAGCAGAGCACTGGGCATTGTGAAAAACTGATAACTCCGCGTTGCATTTAATGATATGGAGTATGATCTCGAAATGCCCTGATAAAATTTATACGACTCGTCGACATTTTAAATAATGGCCAGTTTGATTAAAGGTACGCAATGAAGAGACAATATTAGATCAATATAAAATCATTCACAATTGTAGTGACTAAACATGATCCATACGTGAAGGTTAAAATTGGAAGACCGTCTTTCTCCCCGAGGTATTTCACAGTTCCATACCACTCGTCCTGCGATTACAATAAATTACGAAGCAAATGAGTTAGTAGTAAATTATATATATATATATCAACCAACACTGCATAAAATCTGCAACATTAAAGTTAAGTCCGTGGTTAGGAAAATTCATGCTCGAATTGACAGAGATACATAAGCCTGACAGCACGTCAGTGTAGGTTCTCGGTCTATGCTTATTAAATGAAAACATGCCACAGCTAAAACCCAAATTAGTCCATCGTCTGTAGAGAAGCCAGCTACGTGAAAGATTCACCTCAAAAATATCCAAAAAGTGACGAGATTCCTTCTTCAATTGCGCAATATGCCTACCAGTCATCCATGATCTCTCAACTCTGCCAGGATTTTCTTGGCTAAGAACGTCATTGAATTGCTCCATCCTGAAATCAAGAGTTACGAATTAATGTGTAAAAACAAAATTCAACGATACTACACGCGTAATTCTCGGCAACACAGCATTGCAAATGGTCAATAAGCAGCACAACGCTACATAATGAACATAATTTCGGTTCCCGGATGAAGTTATCAAGGACGATGGAGTGACCAATGCTATCCAAAAATAGATGTGCAAAGAGCTTCAAGTCATCAACAAAACAACCTCGCCCTGACCTTATCACACACTATTTATAAAATCAAGATTAAACGTAAAAATAACAACTGACATGCTAATTGTGAAAGTAATTAGTAATGATGAAAGACAAGCCACCAAACATGAGGGAACAGCACTCACGTGATTTTGTAAATTCGAACATGAGTAAGAATACCAGCTTCGGGAACAGGATCAATAAACGCAACTCCTCCCAAACCCCACATTTTCGTGCTCTCATGTCCAAAGAACAAGCGACTAGGGATGGATAGCCATTCTGAAGCCAGAGGAGGTGACTTGTCTCTGCATCCGATGCACGTTCTCGACATGCCTTCTACCTGCACACAATCCAACAAAACCGAACTGAGGAAATGTGCTCAGGGAACTATATCCAAAAATTTGAAGAACCTCCGACTAGGGCTCGTCCCCTACCCACCCAGATAGCTGAATCGAGTTTCTTTCTTTCTTTCTTTGACGGTCCCCTACAAGTTCAGTTTAATTTCAATATTTCAACGTATCCAATGAAAACAAGTTTATTCACAATCGGCAGATGTGTATATGCATACCTTTCCTCCTTGTATGTAGCACATAAACCGTGGCCTCCACATGTTAGATCCATAACAAGCGTACCACATATAGCTAGGTTCCACTATATCACCAGCACCAGAGGCTTCTTCTGAACTGCTCAAGTCACTGGAAACATTTCGATAAGAATCAATTCCTGAGGCATTCAACTCATTTCTAGATTCGTCCATGTTTTGAACTATTTTTCGTGTGCTTCCCAATGCGTTCCACTCTTCTTTACCAGCCTTTGTGTTGACGATTCCTTCCATCGTACCAGACGGACTCCTTAAGAATTCTGATTCCACCTCCATTCTTCCCGTCGCAACTTCATCCTCAACAGCCCCTCCATCCCCTTCACCTGCAATAAACAACATGAAAAACACGCACATGTGACTACGATAGTATTTGCGCTAATGCCAATTCCATTGTAGCAGTCACCACAAGCCTCAATCGATTGACGATGTGATGAACTGGTTGTTGCATGGTTCATTCATAAGCCAATGTTTGCAAATGAAGATTAAACATAGAGTGTCTTCAGATCATGTTGTTATGATATTCTTTATCGGTTACTTCTAAGCTACTTCCTGGCCTTACGGAAACACCTGCAAAGGAAGATGAATCAGCTCCGGACAGTTGAAGAACAGTGGCAATATCCTCAGGTCCTGAAATTCCCGCAAAGCTTAGCTCTCCCGAAGAAATAATCTTTTTCCCCTTTTCATCTGATGTTATAACCGTCGAGCTGGTTGGTTCATCATGAACAATATCCGAGCTTCCATCCCAGGCTCTTAACTTAGACAGTAGATCAATGAGATCCGTGATGGGTATAATAGCAGGCTGTGGAGGAGTCTGCCACTGCTGATCCTCGTCTAAGCTTTCAATAACCATTCCTTCCAATTCCTGCAAAGTTGACGACTAAAAACAACAACATTAGATTAAAATATTGATAACATTGGATTTGATCAAAGGTAAAAACGAAGGGACCAATTCAACACACACACACGAAAAATAAATAAATCGTTAAAATCCTGAAATGACCTTCAAAAACATTCAACTTTTGCACGGATAAATGCAACAGTACAAATCTACAGTGCTCCAATTAAATTTAGTAGATGCTCACAGATGGACAAATCTCGTTACTCTAGACAATCCGAAAACCAAATTTTTAACCGCACCAAGTCACAGCAGAAGTCGCGTTGAAGACAAGGTACTACCTTGGAAGCTAAGCTAGGGGCAGGTGTGAAAGGCACTGGCAACGGTTCTTCCGCAAGAATAGGCCAATACATCTGAAGATGTTTCCGTACCTGCAACAAACAACCAACTTGCCTTATCCTATGAATTATGTTGGTGGTTGGCTGTTGAGTGTCAAAATTAGAATTCTTGAAGACGAATCACTGCATTTACTGGTAATTTGCATATGCAGCGGTAAGGGACCGATCGCAATACCTCCTTAATCACAGGAAATGTTTCCGGAAGAAGATCGTGTTCAACCTTTAACACAGGAGAATCGCCTAGCATAGCTTGCATGCATGCTAAGTAGGATTCTGATATGGAAGTGAGGTTATAGCCACCTTCCAAGGCTAATACCACACGCCCATTTGCTAACTCCATTAACTGCAAAAATCATCAGGGTAACATAAGCTTGAAAACAGATGAATATTCGAAACTGACACAGCACAAGCTAAATCAGGGAAATCACGAACAACATTACTGACAAAAGAAACGACCTTTCACCTCCAATGCACATATACGAGCTTCCACAGGAACTAAGAAACATGAAAGTTACCTGTCGTGTCATTTGAAAATACCCACCAGGAGTAACGTTACACCTACCCAAAGGATCTCCTCTGGCTGTATGCAGACTTTCTAGGTTAGAATTTTACTTTCACAAATCATCCCATGATAATAAACCATAACGTCAAATTACATGTCGTACTTTAGAGAGTATTTGAAAGCAGCAGCAAACCAAGCACTACATCCAGGTCAACCATAAACGGTGTATGATAAACATTCTAGAACAACTGTTCCCAATATCCACCATATTTCGTTTGCTAGGTGTAAATTAAGTCTGTTTGGGGCTTACCAGAATCAAAACCAGCTGAGATCAAAACTATGTCTGGGTTAAACTGGCGAGCTACTGGCATGAGAATATACTTCCAAACTGCCAAGTAGTCAGCATCACCATAGTCTTTGTTTGGCCATGGAACATTGATGTTGTAACCTTTCCCCTCCTCGCCTCCTACTTCAGTACAGTTACCGTCATTACCAGGTGGATAGAACCTCCCCTGGTCAAATCTGAACACACGTCAAAAATGCCAGAGACACTTCACTAAAAGTGTCGAAATAAATTCCTAACTCGAAAATTTCATTCTCGTGTTTACAGCAGAGAACATAGTGGAAATCATAAAAACGATAAGTACCTGTGAACAGAGAAGTACATAACCTGGGGGTCAGTCCAAAACATGTGCTGTGTACCATTCCCATGATGCACGTCCCAGTCCACAATCAGCACCTTTTTGACTCCAAGTTCTGTCTGTTAACGGCCAGGAAATAACTTGTGAGTAACTACAGTTAGTGCAACAATCATTGAAGCCTATGACTCGCATCTGTCGTAGTTCCTCGACTTCGAGGAGTTTATTAAGATAGTCATTTGACAGGAAAGGGCTCTACTGTAACAATTTCGCCCACTACTTCTCAACCAACCCATATCCACTACCATTCGCAACAATAACGGAAACCATCATAAGAGAAACTTATTGACAGAGGGTAAACTTTCTCTGAAACTCTCTCGACAATTTTTATTTTAAATTCTTTGTAACCCTTTGATAATCATCCCAACCTGCTGCAAACCTGCTCCACTTCAGAGGTGACTACTCTAAGCGTTACCAACATGTAAGGCATTCCAATAAACTTCACTACCTTTTCATGGGCCAGTATATGAGCCGCAACTGCGACATTGTTCAAAAGGCAAAATCCCATTGGTCGATCGGCCTCCGCATGATGACCAGGTGGTCTTATTACACATGCTCCAGATGCCAGTTTTCCCTCAGCTACTTGGGTTGCAACCTGAAGCATATGGCGCAACTCTATTCATGATACTAGTACAGTTCAGAAAATACAGAACACTGGCGCGAATCCAAGCCGTGAATGTGAGCAAGAACTTTAAAAGCATTCTGACAACGGGCGGGCACGAGTACTAACAACAAGTTCTAACAACAAGTTCTAAAATCAAGCATATGTGTCACAGGAATGTAGACAGGGACCCTTATAAACCTCCGCGTCTCAGTGAGCTTTTGGAGCAGTAACTAAAGCTAGAATGTAGGCGACGTGGAACAACAAAGGAAAGTTATCGGTAAACTACACTACTATATTTATGTGTAATAATATACTGTTCATTACGTATAATAGTATTAACGTGTAACTGCTTAATTTATATCTTTGCCAATAGCGTATTTACCTCAATAACTGATCCAGCAGCTAATAGCGCAGCTACAGCAGACCCCTCGTTAAAATAAATCGAATCAAAAGTTTCCTGCAGCCGCCTACGCTTTTTCTTGCCAAAAGATTTATGACCAAGCTCCTGCATAAGGCTAATATGATCCTCGGTGTGCACTGTGCTCAATTCTGCAGGAGTTGCTTCCCGCGCGTCAACCTGTACACATCTGGTATAATGAAATTGCAAGATTAGATACTCTTGAGTTTCGCAGTCTATTTTCCACTCAAGCCAAAAACTACAGCGTACAAAACTGGTTTGCTGGGAAGAATCATTATGGCTATGTCGCACTTCAATCAACCAGAAAACTGCAAGAAAAATGAACCCTAACGAATGGGAAGAGTACATCATCCTCTACGGACGTACGGTTTTAACAAAGACATAGAACCACAAAGCAAAATGTAGCTAAATGAGACAAGAAAGTGAAAACAGTCGGCAACAAATTATGGCTGAATACTCGTGAATAAGTGACGGGGCAACGTAAGCGCATCAAATTGTCTCGATGACCCCAAGTACAACAGTATGATCTCCGGCACCTCAAGTACAAAGGGACAAATTCGAGGCATAGGACAATGTCAACGACTCAGCTCCGCAGAATACAACAAACGAGAACGAAGACCAAAAACTAAACAAAATAAACAAAATAAAATAAATAAATCATCGGTAAACCAAAACTGCACGAGGGAGGTGAACGCCTCGGGGACAACAACGCACCGGTCCACGACTCCCTCCGCCTTGAGACGTTGATAGATAGACGTAATTCGAGCCGGCTGCTCAGGATGGTCGTCGGAGTCCACATTTTCATGCGCGCACATGCGCTCATCGTACACCAGGCCTACTCGCGAAGCCATGTGCCCACCACGACCAACGCAACGAATTCTTGCAATCCCGAGAGTTTCCGAACGATCAGAACGCGATCATGGGAGCGATCCGCGCGCGCGCTAAAACGGGGTGCAAAAAACCCGAGCAGAGAGGGCATCCAAGTGCTGCGAGCTGGAGAAATATCGGCACTAATGGCAGCAAGAGGAATAGGCTATCTATGGCAGGGGGGAAGGAAGGAAGGAGACGGGGGACGGAGCGACGTCTAAACGGCGTCGAGGCAGCGAAGAAGATCAAGCAGCAGTAGCAGCAGCATGGCGATGGCTATGGAAGCATGCTACGGCTTTCCTTCGTATCGTATTCTAGGCTGACTGATTCCAACACTCCCTCTTCCCTTGCGGGCCTTCGCGGACCTTCGCGGGCGGAGGCGTCCCACATGGATGGATGACGATCGTCGAGATTCTTCATTCTTTTTCGTTCTCCTGTGCCTGGCGTTCGCATGGCTGGGATCCGCGCGTTCCCTGCCGTAAGAAAAAGACGGGGGGGCACTCCATCTTTTCCTTTCTAGATTTCCCTTAAACATCTATTTATTTTTCTCTGTTTCGTAAGAATTGCTGTTTGTTCCCTTGCAATTGCATCATTTTCATACAATGAGTATATTATTAGACCCTTATAATTTTTTAAATAAATAAAATTGGAATAAGGCATGATTTTTTATTTAGTTGGTGTTTATTTGCAATGTTTGTTCTTTTTAGATGCTTTGTTTCTTTGTTCTATGTAACCGGGATATCATAATTAATTACTTTTAAATCCTCCCATGAGAATAAATTATTTTAAAATTAATTAATAATAAGAATTGTGAGTTTTAGTATTTTTTCAAAAAATATTAATTATATTTTTTTGAAATATTCATATGTTGGGTATGTGCAATTCTAAAAAAAAAAAAAACAACTCTCTCTTTCTATGTATATGTGTATATATATATATATATATATATATATAGTAATTTTTTTTTAACCGCTCGATTTGGTGACTCTTGTTTGTATACCTTAATGCTTATTCAGAGACTATTTTAATACATTGATCTTTTTTATTTTAAAATTTTAAAGCATGGAAATGTTTCAATTTGTACATTTTTCTATCCAGGTGTCATGAATTTTGAACATCATTTCAAAGCTCTTTACTTGTAGGTGTTGTGAACATTCTTTAAAAAGAGTTATCTAACTAAGCTTGTTACTTCAAATCTTAATATTCTATTAAAATTTATTGGTTGCAAAATTAATCTTGTTACTTTTTTATATATTTAATACAATATATACTACAATTTGATTTTCCTAATATCTTGAATTAGATCTTAAATGCAAAAAAGGAAAACAGTAATCTTCTAACATTATTTTTCAGAATATAGAAGTTATTTTGTTGTATCAATTTTTATATATATACTACATTCTTTTGTTGGCATACCTTCCTAAAACCCATATCTTTTTAGAATTTGATTTAGAAAAAAATTATAATTATTCTTGCAGGCTTGTTACATCATTGTTCACAGATCATTTATTTGCTTGACTATAAAAAATTATAATTGAATTATGGCTCTTTAAAATTTTGGCAGTTTACAGGAGGTCATGTTATTTTGTTATTCTTAGTTACATATACCTTAGATAACTCACGACAAATGCAATGCTTGCAGCATTTTTATTTTTAAAATGTATTAATGATTTATTTCCATTTTTATTTATAAACAATACATGTCATGTGTTTATTTTATTAGAAAAATATATGTATTGAAAATCATTCCAAGGCCGCAATTCCTCTCTCGATGTCACAGGGAATTTTTGTAAGATTTGATCAATTCAAGCATATTTTATTAATATGTTAATAATAAGATCAGAGTTATTTATTATAATTTTTAACAGAAAAAATCAAAATCAAATCAATAAGTAGATCTTCTTCAACATCAAAGATAATGTAAATATTCTTAATTTCTAAAATATTAAGAACATGCATCATATTTTTTAAGGTCTTGATTTTGAAAATATTTTACATTGACATCTTGCATAATCATAAAATATTGTTATGGAAGGGCGTGGAAAACAATACGTGCATATGATATATACATGGGGGCTCAACATGCAGAAGTCCGAAAAGTAGACATTTCTATTTATATCAATGTGTGTATATATATACATATATATATATATATATATCTATATATATTCATCATTCTAATATATATTTCCCAGAACATAAAGCCAACACTGATATTATTAGCGCTATTCCGAAGCCGTGAACAGAACAGTATTTATGCAGGATGTTCCACAAACTTTGGACTCGAAACATAATAATAGAACTACATGAGTATATAACTCGAGTTATAATAATATATTAATATACTTGAGTTATCATAATTGAGCCATAACACAACTGCAGTCCTAAATTCAGAATATTGGAGTTATCTGCATAAGTGGGTCTCTTTCATTTTTACGTTCTTGAACACAATATATACAAATAATTCTCTTTCATATACACTTATGTACACATAGACACACAAACACTGACACACACAAGTCTGTATTGTGCGAAATCATAGCCTTTGTACTGCACTTCATACATCATTTCCAGGACTATTCAAATGTTCACAAAGACAGATTTGTATCACAGATTGATAGAAAGATGGAAACTAGTGACATGTGTCGAAACACAAACACAGGAGTTGAAGATTATTACGTTTGTCTAGGGGTGGAAAGGGATGCGACTATGGACGAGATTCGTAGAGCATACTTGCGCAGAGTAGTTGCCACTCACCCTGACAAAAACCCTCTACGCTATGAAGAAGCTACAACAGACGAGTTTCTGCGAGTACAAGAAGCATACCATGTGTTGATAGATCCTGCTCAACGCCACGATTACAATGAAGAGAGTCATTCAGTGGGCCAAGACTTTCAAGAAAGCCCCAATCCAGCAAAGACCATTGGCGCACACGCTGAAATAGTATCTAAACCTTCAGATCAGTTAATGGGAAATAGTTGTAAGGTTTTCACAACAAGGTCGACAACTGGGAAAAGTTTAAGTGTGGGTATAGGTGCTACAGGATTAGTTGTTGGCACTAGTTCTACAAGAGGAAGCGATAAGTTGGAGAAACCAATTACAAGCACAAGAGGTGGAACGCAAAACCCTAAGAAGTTGGAGCAAATTGACAAGTTCTCAGGTCTGGCCAAGTTTGGCTTGGTGGTTGGACCTGGACGTCGTTAGGTCTTGGCAAGTCGGGACAACCTACACCTGAAGTCGATCATGGCGACATTATTTTCTTAAGCTTATTTCAACCTGATGGGTTCCCTATGACCAGACGGTGTGCACGTTGTAAAACGTTCATTAATTAACACAAATACATTGAAACATAGTGAGGATGTAAAGTGGAGAGAGCGCGAGGGACTGAGCAAAGTGCACAGGTCGATATAAAATCTTATGTATTCATTTCATCAGATTAACCGAACTTGCTTTTTCGCAATCCTATACAAGACATCATGCCAAATCCAACAGTTGGTTTGGTGCTTACATTTAAATTCCATCACATGCGATTGTCATGACGAACATACTAACAGTTCTGTGAACCAATCCGCATAAACAGGGGAAAAACTTCAATCTTCGGGATGCGTGTATAAGGAGATGAATTTTAACTAACAGTATCCCTCTTCAACTCCCAACAAAACGGTACGTCCGACTCCACGATTGCACAATGTGTTATTCACTGCATCCGACAGAACAAAGCACAAAACACGTTAGAGCTCATGAATAGCCAAACTACCTGCAGGGTTCCACTGCAAAATTACGGTTCAAAGAATTTATGTGATCATTGTGCCATGATCCAATTAGATGGTGAATCTCGTGATGCATCATACACTGAAAAGCAGCTTCTGAAGCAAAGTAACTAGCACTATAAGTTTAAAAAAGATAAATGAACGGACCATGTGCAGTTGTAGTCGCCGTACTTGACAGAATCTTCAACTTGTTGTCGAGGACCACAGTTCCAACATTCCAGATCCCGCTGAAGAATAATATGCCAGTCCTTGAACTTTATTCTTGCGCATCCACATTCACTTGAAACAATACGATCATGGAAACGGGAAGCTCACTGCAGGTGGACCTCAGGATGCATAAGACTAGTGCAAAGGCAGGGCAATAATTGTGCGACTCGGAGGTATGAGGTCTGTTGATTCCGATATGATAATTTGTCTGCATGATAATAACGGAATCAAAGGTTCCATGAGGATTCAGAGCAAAAACCAGTCTGCTTCTGCCTCATGCCTCACCTACTCACTGACTTAGCAGATGCCTTTTCGGTAGAGTCCAATAGACAAAGCCAGCTAAGCAGAACCCAACAAACCAGGCATTACTGTATATGACAGTGAAGACTTCTGGGCAGTCTAGCGCCCCAGTGGAGGCCAGGAATCCCGGGATGTTTGGGACAATGCTCACAACAAGGGCCACCAAAGCTGAAACATTGTAACCATTTGTGTACCAATACAGACCGCCTTTGTCATAAGAAAAGAGATCGTCAATATTCAGAGAGCGGGCTCGCAACCCGAAGTAGTCGACAAGCATGATCCCTCCCACAGGTCCTAATAATGCGGAGTATCCGATCAACCACGTGTAGATGAATTCTTGGCTAGTTTGAATTAGGCGCCACGGCTGAAGCAAAATTCCAGCAAGGGCTGTGAAGAGGCCAGCTTTTTTGAAGGAGAAGAATGATGGGTTCAAGTTCACAAGAGCATTGGCGGGGGCCACAACGTTAGCTGCAATGTTTGTGCTCAGAGTTGCTAGAATAACTCCCAAAAGAGATAGGAGAGTAGGAAATAAGCCATCGATACGAGCCAGCAGCTGTATAGGGTCCGAAATAGCCTCTCCAAAGATCACCACAGTAGCCGAAGTGACTGCGAGGCCCACGAAAGTGAACGCCGCCATGAAAAGAGGTAATCCTATGGCTTGGCCCGTCAGCTGGTCCGACTGGCTTTTGGAGTATCGAGTAAAATCTGCAACACAATGAAGATAAGATACTCAACATTTGAATGTAGATACATAGCCCAGAAGCCCACTATCACACTAGCCATTTTACGTGTGGACATGACCGCTTATCAATACTTGCTCTGTGATTCAAAGATCATGCATTCCAATAGATTTGGCTTCTGAACTCTATGTTGCATGCACTTAGAATCTCAGAGATGAAAACGAGAATCAACTGTGGAAAAGAGGTGGGAACATCAGCTTCACCTGAGATGTTCAAACTCAGCGTAGCCCAAAAGCCAACATTAGCGGTTAACGCTGGAAAAAAGGTTTGCCAGAACTGGCCTGCTTTTGGGCCTCCAGGGATGAACTGTGAGGGAGCTGACAACATTGGTCCGAATCCTCCTGCTCGAACGTAAGCCCAAGCAAGTAATGCCCCGGATAGAGCTATGAGGATTGGCGCACTGAGGTTTTCTAGTTTCCGAATGCTCTCAATACCATGGGAGATTATGGTTACCTGCAGCCCAAACTCGTATGAGAATCGTACAGAAGCCCAACGGCAGCTTGTCATAAAAATTGGTGCCATCCAGAGATTCATTGACTTAAAATTTGAATTACCCCTAAAGAACACCCAACCTTTCAGTCTCTGTTCCTTCTGTAGGACTTTCTGCTACATTCGCGCAAGAAACACATTTTTGAATGATGTACGGGGAAGGCAATTCAGGTAGCATTGTCAAAAGAGTAATCGGTCAATCCAAATCCAGCAAATCTATATCCCGAGTATAAGGTTTTGAACCAACCTTAACTCTGTTATCGGTTAGTTCTTTCCAAAAACTGGTTGCTCTTAGTCAGAAGGGAAAATCACAATTATTTAAAGCTAACTCTGTAACATCGGGAGGGGAAAATCAAACAATAGGTAATTACACGGTTGCACAGCTTCAATTTCATTTCGCTCCCAAATTATACAGCAAAGCTTCAAAGAAAGTGAGGGCTGAAATTGGTGAGCCACACGTACCTGAAGCAGCCAGAAGGCCATGAAACAACCAAATTCCGCTGCACTGATGCCCAACCACGGCACCACGCTACCAGCTAAGCTTCCGTTTAAAGAAGCGTTAAGCAATTGAAAAACAGCTTGTCCTCCAATCCATGTCTGTATTCCAAACCACCCACAAGCAACGAGGGCGCGCAACAGAGACGGCACATTGGCGCCTCGAATTCCGAAAGAGGCACGGGCAAGCACTGGAAACGGGACCCCGAACTTCGTCCCCGCATGACCGATCAATACCATGGGCACAAGAACCACCATATTCCCAATGAAAACTGTGACAATGCCTTCCCACCACGACATACCCAACTCCACTAGACTCCCAGCCATATAATACGTCGGCACCCCGATCACCAGCCCTATCCAGAGACACGCCATGTCCCAGACCGTAAAAATCCGGTCCGCTGGCATAGTCGGTGCAAAATCTTCGTTGAACAGAGAGCTGTCTGGGTTACTGGGCAGCCGCGTAGCAATGGGCTCCAGCAACCCCCTGAGGCAACCACCTGCCTTATCTCCATCACACTCCGAACTCTGACCACACTCCTCACTCCATCTCTCATTCAGCAGCCTTTCCTTCTTCACATCCTTGTCATCACTCACTGCCAACTGCCCAAAAATGGATACCATCGCAAATGTAGAGCCAACTACCCAATTTACACAAGAATCTCGCACTCATTCAGCAACACTAAAATTCTACAGCTCGAAGACGACATCAACTACTACGAGACCCTTAGACTCGCATCGCAATGCAAAAACCTCACCTCCGAATCACGATTCCTCCCACACAATCCTTCAAACCAGTACTCTACAACACAAATTCCATTCTCTGTCTGCCCACTTGAGAGTCTTAAAGCGAATACATTTGCGATGGTATCCAACACAAGAAAACCTCCACGAGTGTTGAAAGATTAACGACAAAAGCAGCGACTGTAACTGGCATACAAACAAGCTGCTGGAAGCGCTGGACACACTGCTCCTGTAAAGCACAACGAAGGCCCGCGTGGCTGCGAAGATGTGGACGAGCCTCGCCGCGACCTCGCAAATTTGTGGTGATTCGAAACGCGCTGCGAGGATTGGTCGCTCTCAGTCGCACAATCACTCAGCGCTACAAATCACGCAAGCATGATTAGATGAATGTACATGAAAACGTATGGCAATAGCGCAACCACGGATGGGTGTGTACCGACACCTCATGTTGAGATGAACGAATGCCGATCTAGCGTGGATAGATGAAAATTCAACTAGTTTTGCATCCGTTCAATTAAACTCTTTAATCCTAAAAACCACCGTGAAACTCTTTTAAGCAATGCATAAATTGAAGTAAACAAACAAAAAAATGCTAATTAATTTGTGAGTAAATTCAATTTAAAGTTTTGGAAAATTGATAATTAAGAATACATGCCACACTTTTTTGAACGAGTGGTGACATCACTTTTCCCTGAACTTAAACTTAGTTAGCTGTTTATTTATTATTTGTGTGGGTCATTCTTATAGTTTTGTCATGTGTATTTCCGTGGATGACTAGCTGCATTGGGTGTTCGGTGGTGTTTAATTCCTTCTGAAAAGCGGTTTATTTTCACCATTTCTTTCGACATGGTTGGCTGATTTAGAAGTAGTTGAGAAAACAATCAATATTTAAACACAAGATGCAAGTGTACAAGAACGAGGTCCTTCCGAAAACTGTGGTAACATTTGAATAGTCCTGGAAATGATGTATGAAGTGCAGTACAAAGGCTATGATTTCGCACAATACAGACTTGTGTGTGTCAGTGTTTGTGTGTCTATGTGTACATAAGTGTATATGAAAGAGAATTATTTGTATATATTGTGTTCAAGAACGTAAAAATGAAAGAGACCCACTTATGCAGATAACTCCAATATTCTGAATTTAGGACTGCAGTTGTGTTATGGCTCAATTATGATAACTCAAGTATATTAATATATTATTATAACTCGAGTTATATACTCATGTACTTCTATTATTATGTTTCGAGTCCAAAGTTTGTGGAACATCCTGCATAAATACTGTTCTGTTCACGGCTTCGGAATAGCGCTAATAATATCAGTGTTGGCTTTATGTTCTGGGAAATATATATTAGAATGATGAATATATATAGATATATATATATATATATATGTATATATATACACACATTGATATAAATAGAAATGTCTACTTTTCGGACTTCTGCATGTTGAGCCCCCATGTATATATCATATGCACGTATTGTTTTCCACGCCCTTCCATAACAATATTTTATGATTATGCAAGATGTCAATGTAAAATATTTTCAAAATCAAGACCTTAAAAAATATGATGCATGTTCTTAATATTTTAGAAATTAAGAATATTTATATGCAAATACATGGACGAGGTTCTTATGCGTGTATGTTACTTTTTTTTTTTTTTTTTTTTTTTTTGTTTTTCTTAATTTTTTAGGTTTAGTTTTCTTTTCAAACAACTGTAGGTATTTCAACTTTGTAGAAAGCTATTGTTTATAATTATTTTATTTTAGTTAATGAAAAGTGAACAAGTGTTGTATGATTATCTCATTAAATAACCAATTTCAAATTTTAATCATAGAAAGATATATTGTGCAGAGGTATAATCAATTGCTTTAGCATATCGTAGGCACACCAATTATTTTTGACGCAGAACATCATTTCATGGGAGAATCTGTATAGGGAAACAAAAATATAACTCAAATAGTATCCAATAATAACAACCATTAAAAAATAATTAGCAACAAATGTGATCTCAAAGTACATCCAAGAAAACGAAGTTTACTATTTACAAAAACATGCCAGGGACTTATACCAAATATTTGAAGCAACATTATCCCACTTAAGTAAGATGATCATTCAAGTCAACATATTAATATTAAAAACCCACAAGTACAATTCACACTACAAAACTTCCACATCCATATCAAAAAATTCATCGTGGAAAATTGATGTCATTCTGACCATGTAAACAATGCACACGATTTGTAAACTTAAAAAAAATTAGAAGAAATAAAATCTAATCATAACAATAAATTGTAATCCCCGACTTTGAATCTAAAACATTCATCCACCGATACCAAGAACTACGATCGAATCGTCCACAAACTATCATCCACAAGTCATCCATACAGTTGTCACTACTACATCCATCATCCACCCATTCATAAACTATAGACATTCATCCATCATCTGTCCATCCGTGCGAGCAGGGTGTGTCAGTCCTTGCCGAAGCACATGAGCGTGTTGGTGATGAGCATGTTGCCGCGGCGCCACGCCTCCACCGCTTGCCCCACCAGGGGGACTCTCACCGTGTGCCTGTTCCACAGCGGATTCCCCTCCCACCTGCGAATCCCACCCCACACTCTCCGCATCAACCCCACACTCTCTTACCCTCACTCACCTGGACCCGTTGCAAAAATCACACACTCACTCCCTCACTCACTCACTCACAAACAATTGGATTCATGGCGCTGTCATCTAGGTGCGTGACCCCACTTACAAGTCCTCGTGGCGCACAATTTTGCCCCCTTCCACCTGCCAACAAAGATATCCGGTCAGTTGCAACGAGAGTGAGACCATGCGGCTCCTATGGTATGCACTGAACTGAAAAAGGGAGGCGACTCTCAGAGAGAAATGGCCTGTCGGTGGGACGTACCCGGAGTTTGATGACGGAGGACATGTCGATCGTCTTCGACAGAAACTTGTAATGCTGCTGGGTGTCGAGCCGGATCTGGTGCCCACAAGTTCAGCGATGTTAGCCAATCCTTGCCCTTCGCATCCATTGGGTGACAAAAAGACATAGAATTGGGTCAAACATGGGAGGGTCAGTACCTCGCCGGAACTGGGAGTCTTGTCTTCCTCTAATTCCACCGTGTATTCAACTATCTCAGCCTCGCTGAACACCTGCGAGTTTTCTTCGACAGTCAGAGGACTTGTCTGAGAAGATGCCTTGCATTCTACTGAAGTACTGAGTGGTCCGTTTAGAAATCCGACCTCGTTAAAGTGATTGATGGATGCTTGTTTATATCTATGATTTAATTCCACATAATGTGGCAGCAAGTACCTTGGGGATGGAGTAAAATGCTGACTTTATCTGGCTCACGCTGCATACATACCCACCACAGCATCGCATACTCTGAATAAACTTCCGGACCGTAGCTCCTGACTCCGAGTACATCGGCAACAAACTCAACAGAAACCACAAAAGTTTAAAATCGGTGATTTGTCGCTGGTATTTGAGCAGTAATTTACCCATGAGCTCGCATCAGAGGGTCCTCGAAAGTTGCATTTGGAGCGTATATCTCGTAATCAGCGGCTGTTGATGTGCAATTGTATCTTTCACATGGCGGATTCAACAAAACGTGAATCGTTTCTCAGCAACAGAAGACCAAATGGTGATAATTCTCTATTTTATCTTTTCTAAATTAGAGAGCGCAAATCCGGAAAATCAGAATGCCACAAATTGTGAAAGTTATCTAACATGTCTAGGCTTGTTTGTTAGCATAGCTCTCAATCCGATTACGAAGGAAAGAATGGCTCACAGATTAAGAAGGTGGGGGATGATTTGAGTAGCGATACGCCCTAGCTCCTTACTTGTGTCCACGCTGTCCATTCCCGTGGGCGTTCCTGCACATTCCATAGCTCAATTCCCGCTCTATGGTGAGAGTGAACATTGACGGGACTCAAAATCGAAAATCCATGGAAGTTAGTTACGTAAGACAGCTATCTATTTACATGTGAAACAAATTCAAAGGGAGAGCCGGCAATTCCTGTGTCTGGTTTAGCCTTACAGTCGCAATTAAGATGCGAACAAATATATCTGGAAATCCTAACACGTCTACTAGAGTGCTACGGATCAGTCGTTCAATTCAACTCACCCCTATTATCGGCCATGGCTACAATTAAGCAACACTGCTGGATATCCCCTGCAAATTCGGTGACCTGTAGATAAAAATGATCTCTCTGATCTTTCACTAATCCCACAGACGCAGACCGCAAATGATGCGCACCTGTTGCAGCAACTTCTGAGATCTCTAACACAGCAAAAACAAGTCACTGGTCCAGGACAGGCTACTTCTGCAGACTGGCTAACCGAGAACTGTTTGAATAGAAACCGTGAGACTACAATGCCGATGCTGGCTACAATAGTCAACCTGAACTTGGTTCTACTTGCCTCGACACTTCTAACATGCGTTGTGAGAGCTTTACAGTCACCCTGTTGGCTGATTTGAACCAAGCAGATACGAACAAGTGGAGCATTCAGAACGCGAGACTTTTGTGTCACTGCCCCTACATGACACGTATGTTTTCACCTTTTGGTCCACCCCAGGTGATCTAAGGATTGACCCCTTTGGACAACCAATGTGATTGCTTGATCCCAAACCGAGGATTGTGCACCTAGTGCTCTTTGAAACCCAGCATCGTTGCGATTAGTCTGAGCAGCATCACCACACCAGAGAATTTCACGTATCTACCAGGCGCACCAGATGCTTGTGCTTGAGCCTGGACAGAAGTTCCGACTTCATGACGAAATTGTACCTCGCGACTTGAGAAACGTCTCTGGTGGACTTTTTGACCGGCACCACTGTGCCATTCGAAAGTGTGCCTTTGAATACCAAGCCATGCTCAAGGTAGAATATTCTATAAAATTCTTTCATCGACCCAGACGTCTAAGACCTCCCTTAGTCCAGTGTCGAAGCTGAACAAACTCCAGGGCAGCTGTTAATGCGCTCCGTGAAGCTGAGGATGCTTGTACCACAAGTTTGACAAAGCACCTTTTGCGGAGCTGTGACTGGTGAACATTGATTCGCCGTTGACACTGCAAAGTATCAAATTCATTCAGCACAACCATTAACCTCAGATGTGTTTTTCATTGACGAAATTGAAGAGAAATAGCTGGATCGTAAAAAGGGGCAACTAGTCCGTAGAAAACATGGAAGTTCGGAATGAACAAGGCCAGGAAGTAATTCGGTATTTCCGCGTGTTATCAATACAGACGTGATGTCAGCCTTTCGGTGTGATACCCTGAGAGGACGTCCATGCAAGTGTACCGAAAGAAGATCTGAGAATCCAAAATGGGTTCGACACATAAGTGATTGTCCTTTTTTAAACTCCCAAACACCTCATGTATGTGATATCTCTTTGAACTGTCTACATTACCTTGCCCACGACACTTACCCCATATCAAATTCACCTGCAGTAAATCACTTCATCCACAAGGCATAGTAGCTGTGAGGTAGTAGCTGAGCTCTGATCGCTTAATTATATTATTCTGTTTTCAATCTACAATGATTTGTCCGTCATTGATCGTCATATGGTCAGTGATCATGAAACACTAAAGCAATTGTATAGTCAAAGCTCTGAAGAGATCGAGAAACGATCTTGCATCAGATTTTAGTATCGTTAAATCCTGATCACTTGCACATCCATCGCCAGCAGGCAAGATCAGCATAGTTGAAGCAAGTTAAGTATATATTGATTAATGAACGAAACTTACCAGAATTTAGCAGATGCAGAACGAACATACAAGTATTGTTCAATTTTTGGCCCTACCAAGGGTCTTCAAGGAAACCTCGCATGCACAGTATTGGTGTGAAACGCTTCATTACACTTTGAAAGGTTTGATATACTCTTCATTATTTCTTCATGTAGAATTCTGTTTGATTGGTTGCCGGATGCTGACCATGCAACCAAACAATGCTTTGTTTGGAAGATCCAGTAAGAAGCTAAATATTAACTGTTTTTAGTTGCTCTCTCATGATCACTTCATTCATTCCTCCTGAACTTCTAATGGAGCTTTGGTGTCCTCTTTAGTATTTGTAGATGATGTCACTGAATGAGTTACTTGCATGAGTTTTGTGCTTTGTCGTATGAACTTTATATGTTGGAGTCTTTGACAGGTCGATGTTTGCTGCTTTCGAAAAACTGGTACATGGACTAGTGATTAAATGGTAGTTTGCATATCAGTTGGTGCACAATTTTATCTAAAAGCTCTGTGTTTCATGGAGCTTTTGAAGTAGTTACAGGGCGCGCATAATTCACCTGACGAAATGATGTTTCGCATTTGGGTGTTTGCTAAGGATAGTTCCTGATCGGAAGGAGCGTACATTGACAACACTGAAAGATGTGGGTCAGGGGACTCTTCTACATGGTGATGGAGCTCATGATATTGGGGCACTTAAACAGGTGTTGTCATGATAGTGAGATTGCTGTAACGACTATGGTAGTATTAATTCATTGCATAAAATTCGTATAGATAGCAAGGTCGGCAGTTCGGAAAGTACCGCGTTTTGGTTAGCTTTGGCTGATTATTCTCTTCTGCAGTGCAAGCTCATGCTGAGGTTGCACTTCAGAACGCCATTCCTCACGTGAAAGCCTCAAATACTCCACAAACTGACTCGGCAGTAGATTCATCCATCGCAGCCGCATCAAGACCACGTAATGTCGTTTTCAGCATTTCAGTGCAGCAACTGGAGCATTCGCTTTTATTTATATTCCGGAGAATACGTTCTTCTGTGAGGTCTGACTGATTGCTTTTCTAGTTAATTTGAGGACTCTGTGTACTCCGTTGCAGAGCAGAAATACCTCGTTAATCTGCATCGTTTTGAGAATTTTTCCAGACATTGTAACAGATCTTTCAATTGGTGACATTTCTACTCGAAATGAACCAGCAAATTGAGCCATCAAAGCGAGTCCCCGTGCTTCAAAGCAGCTGTCACCGAGTGGTCGATAACTCATCCTAGTGACAACCTTGCAGATGTTCAAGATTTTGGGTTTGAATTGCTTGGCAACAGCGTAAGTTCTCAGCGTGATGTATGCGGATTTAGTGAAGCTTGGTGATATGCAAGTGACCACAATTCATTTTGGTTGCATTTCGCAATTGCAAGAGATGCATGTGTCCATCTATATTGATGGCATTTCGAGCTTTCCTAAGCATGTCCACAGTATTCGACAGAACAAGCCTTTTCTATCAGGCCCTGGCCTCTGCAGCAGTTTTTCTCACTGCCATTACAGGCGATGTCTTTTGCAGCTTGGAGGATTGACAGAGGTTGGTGCCTCTCCCAAAAACCTTCCAGCATCAACTTCTTGCGATGGCTGTTTCTCGCACAGATGAATGGCTCCCGACCCCGCATTTTGTTCTACTGGCAGCCACAAGCCCCTACCGCAGACAAAGTACGACCAAAATCCAGACTGAATGATTAATCAACGATGACTTGAATCCCTCTACCAATTCCAATCGATTGTACGCTATGGTTGTCCTTCCAGAAAGCTAAAGAGAGGAGTCTCTCATATTGGGTACCAATTTGTTATTTGTCCTTGCAGAAACTCGATCTCATTGGGGCAAGCACCGGATGAGAATTGGACGAGATGTGTTCGATCCGCAAAGTTGTGAGCATCACTGAAATGAAGATTATTTTTTCTTGTGGCGTTCCAGGTCGGGAAGCTATTCCATGCTGTTGAACCAAGGGCCTTGGTCCTTGCCGAGATCTGTCTCGCTCCGCACATGCGATGCGCCAGAGCCTCCTGAACTTGTCCTCACGGTTTCTCGTGGTGCGGTGGTGACGCACCCATGGTAATGCTCCGGGACGTACACACCTGTAATGGGATCAGGTGTCCACCAGTCGTATTTGGTGGAAGTGGGTACGTTGATATTGACAGATTTCTTCTGCTCTGGTTTCTTCTCCGAAAAATCTTCTCTCATTCTGTTACTTTTGTTTTGTTTGTCTGAGCCTTCCTTCTCCAGTGCTCGTGCTGAGAGTTTCGGAGCCCCCGGCCTCGATTTGGTGCTCATGCTCATGGCTAGTGGCGAAGGTCTTGTGTCACTGTCATGATGCACAGGGTTCGGTTTTTAGAATAAATCATGATGGAGCCTTAGAATATTAAGAACACTATTTGTCATGAACATGTTATGCGAGAATTTTGCATCTCATACGAGACTTGAGTTCGGCTGCCCTGGCGCGATAGCTGTTTGGAGCTACAGGGATGAGAAACAGCGTGATAGAGAGGCGCACACTTGGTTATGATTGTTTTCCTATACTCCCGTGAGGATTCTGAGCTCTTCAGGAACGACTCCAAGCAGGCGCGCAATCCTATTTGGTGATAGCTCCATATGTTACTTAGGGTTTTCTTCAGGGTTCTAGCGTGTATCCTCACCTTTTCGGCCATTTGCATTCAGATCTATTCGCTCTTTGTTCATCATGAACCCACTTTACGCTATCATATTCATTGCTATGTCCCCTCCCACCACCCACATAACCTCGGATGGCTATTGTGATGTCGATTGTGACGTATCATGCAGAATCGTTGAAACTATCCTGATTAGTGCTCGACTTTGAACAGACCTGGGCGAGGAGGCGTGGCTTTTGGATTCGAATGATGTCATGACATGTATATGTTACTGACCATTTGGCAGTCAATTGAGTCTAGCAGCTGAGCGACCGCAGCTGGGTCTTGATTGATGGCTCGCGTGGTGCTATTGCAGCGCAGGCACTTGTAACCAAATCCTTTGTTGCGGTCATGTGCATGAAGCAGGATTCAAGTTCACCTGGGTTCTCATAAGAGGTTTTTCACGAGGGATTCTATTCAAAGGAAACTGACCAGCAGTACTCAAGAAAAGGTTGGTAGCAAAAATCATTCAGCAACCTGGTTGAAGAGTACTTTTCAGATGGTTGAGATTGTACCACAAATACCGTAATGCTGGTGCGATGATTTTATCAATTGCAGAGTCCGGTACCGCAGGTCTGTGCTTCACTGGTACACTACGCAGAAGTTTCAGTTTCAGCGCAGATTCTTTTAGTGCTCCTCGCCTCTCCTTCTAGAGTTCTCGCAAGTAGGTCAAGCTAGTACATGTATTTAACCTTCTCTGAATGGAACCGTAAACCGCATCAGCGGCTACTAACACAGATGCGTAGGAAAACTCAATTATTCATCTTCACAGGGTTGACCTGCATCTGAGGTTTAACAGCTCACATTTGCTCTGTGGTACTTAGCACAACTTGCACCCCAAAGACAGATAAGATGGCCGCGAGCCCACTTGTAAGAGCATTGTGAGAGTGGTTACCAGCTCCGATTGCACAACTGTTGTGCTGTTTGCGATGTGTAGAATGTCTTTTAAGGGGCGAAGATCTCGAGCTTTGCTCAAGATGCGCAGAATATCAACGCATGTCCGTGCTGCGGGACTCCCTAAGGCTGCAACAGTGAATTGTCACAAGAATCTCTCGTTCTAGTGACCGTGTCAGCCATGGCGCAGCGAGTCGGGCTTCATGGCATTGCTGTCGCCAAGCGACTGTGGCCATGGCTTGCCCATGTAGACAACTTGTCAGGAGCGTCTTCGAATATTCTGAATGCCGGTTTCAACCAAAAATGGTGCGCTGTAAGTTGATGGATTCTGACCTTAATGTGTCTTCAGTAGCCCTCTCTCGGCCCCTGTTTTGAGGGTTGAAGGAATAAGGTCAGAAATCTCACCGCTTTAGCATGAGAAATTGTCATTTATGTTAGCTTTTTCTACGATACGACAGACCTCCCCAATAATGCTTGGGCATCGTAAACATCTCGCAATCGAGGTCTGCAGAGTGGAAGATGCTGCGGGTCCCACCACATTCAAGTTAACATAGAGTTCATAATTTGCAGAGGCTCGATATTTTTTGTATGGTGTCAGCAATTTTCTTAAATTCATACTGATTCTGTTCATCGATGTATGATGCAGTCGCTGTGAATGCTTTCAACTGTGTGCTTCTGTGTGTGCGCAATACTGTCTCATCGGAGTTCTCGACTAGGTGTTGGATTTTGTTTGGCATGCTTTGACAGTGCGTGTTGCTGGGGGCGCGGTGATCGAGTCTGATCATATTGCAGTTGTGTTGAAGACCTTTTTTCCCCTTTTTAATTCGTATTTGGCCCACGTCTTATCCGTTTGCTTGTTCGCAAATGATTGATTGGGGTTTACCGTCATTCTGGCGGGGGATCTAGGGCGAACTTAGGTTGGCAACTTTTGACGTTTTATTGGATTCACATGAAAGATTGGTGTTGTAGGAGATGATGATGAGTCCTTGAAAACCCAGTATTTGCGAAGTGATATAACCTGAGAGTTGTTTAGGGGTCAGGGGTTTGAAGTCTGCGTTAGAGAGCTCTTGCAATGGTGGGTCGCAGGAAAGCTGCCAAAGAGCTGCTTCAAATTGCGAATGCGGCCGCTAGGCGTTCAAGTGCCACATCCAACTTTCAGATTCCTGCCACTCTCCCCAAACCCACTGCTCAGCAATCCCAATTTTCTTGCAATGGTACTTTGCTCGGCTCAGTTTTGTCTCGGAACATAAGAACAGCTGCAAAAGAGTCCATTCCTGCTTTCCGGGACACATCCGCAGCTTCAAAATTTGCGCCATGCAGAAGGCCAGTGCGAGGGTTTGCAACATCTGCCACCGCTCAATTGCCTGGTCAATCTCCATTCCCGTGGTATGGTCGCTACGTTGGCTACACAATTCTTTTAGGCGGTTCGGCCATCTTAACATACTTCTACTATCCTCACCCGAAACGAGGAGGTGGGGCGGCTCCACCCGCTCTTACGGCTGATGAGCATACGGTGACCAATTGGAGTGGCACACATTCGGCCACCACTAGTGTGTACGCCCAGCCCGAGAGTTTGGAGGAGCTGGAAAAGGTAGTAAAGCTTGCACACGACAACGGCCAGCGGCTTCGGCCCGTTGGGTCGGGGTTGTCGCCGAATGGGCTTGGGTTAAGCGACGAAGGCATGGTCAATTTGGCGTTGATGGACAAGATCATAAGTGTTGATGAGGAGACCAAGAAGGTGAGGGTGCAAGCAGGCGCACGCGTCGCCGAAGTCGTGGAGGCATTGCGACCCTATGGCCTCACTCTGCAGAATTACGCTTCCATCCGTGAGCAGCAGATCGGAGGATTTATTCAAGTTAGTTGTGCGTATCCCTTCTTTTCTGATTTACGCTGGAAATCCGAAAACTGTTCACATTGAGAGTGTCGAGAGTTGTAACCAAAGTTGTTGCGATGTCTTAGTCCGCTTCTGTGTCCTTTCTCTCGATCTCGGCAACCTTTTACGTCATAAACCCTAACAACCCAATGCTGTTTTATTCTCACGACTTGATTCCGATGAGGAATAACCTGTGATTTTAGACTTTCTATTCTCTGAACAAACCTTGTGTGGATGTCAAGGCTGGCTTTGCCTAGAGTGAACATGTTAGGGGCGCTTGCATGCTTGGAATGTCGTTTTCTCAATGGCTTGATAATGGACCCTTACTGATAGCCTCTTTGTACTCAATTTCGGTAGGAGAATTTGCACGCATAGAGATTATTCGATCTTATTTTGACGGTGTCATTCTTGGGGTATTACTTTGACGTTCGAATTAATCCGAATGGCGGGAACATTGACAGGTTGGGGCCCATGGAACTGGGGCGAAGCTACCACCGGTTGATGAGCAGGTAGTGGGTTTGAAGCTGGTCACTCCTGGCAAGGGAACTTTGGACCTCTCTCCTGAGGATGGAGCTTTGTTCTACCTTGCGCGGTGTGCCTTGGGTGCTCTTGGTGTCGTTGCTGAAGTTGAGCTGCAATGTGTGCAAGCTCACAAGCTTTTGGAGAAAACAATCGTTACCAACATGAAGCAAGTGAAGAGAAATCACAAGTATGAATCTAGACCATGCAATAGCCACCTATGAATCAACGCAACTGTATTGTATTAAAATGTGCATCTGTCCTCGTTTGATGCACGCATCTTGTTCATCATATCCTATTCAGAAGGCATTTATTGTATCATTCATAGTTTCTGCTTTACTAGAGGTTTAGCAATGGGCAACTTTGCTCACTATTTTATTCAGTAAATTAATCAGGTCAAGTATTAAGTGTCAATAAAGGCATCTACTACAACTGATAACTTACTAATCTATGGTTACTTAAACTTTTACTGCAGGAAATGGCTACAAGAGAACAAGCATTTACGGTATATGTGGATTCCTAACACAGATACAGTTGTAGTGGTTCAATGCAATCCTCTGAAAGAGGGCCAAGAACCCAAGGAGGTATCACCAAAATACAGCATGGATGAGAGGTTGAGTGGAGCACGATCTTTATACAAAGAAACTGCTGCAAAATACTTGTAAGTGGATTTGTTAGCACTTCCTCATCCTTATCCTTGGCTTTGCTAGGTGGCTCCCAGCTGGCAAATGTTGTCTTTTTGATGGCTTGTTCTCTTTCTATTAAGTATGCGCTTGAAGATAGGTACGGAATCTGGTATTTTATGGACCAACTTTCAGCTTGACGTGGAGCTTGTTTCCGTCTGACAGGCCGAAGTCACACGAGCCTGAGTCACATGGTGAGCAAGACCCGAAAACTGCTCAAGTAGAGTCTGGGATGTGGGGTGGAACTGGTGGAGGTAGCAAGGAGCCTCTCGGACATCTCTCAGATGAGGAGCTAAATTCTTTATCATTCACTGAACTTCGTGACAAGGTTCTCGGATTTGACCCTCTCAACGCGGCCCATGTCAACAAAGTGAGAGCCCTAATCGTTGCGTTTGGTTGGATGAGTGCCGCATTAAACATTAACTTGCTTATTTGCATTCCATTACATGTACGATCCTGTTGGCAATATTCTTGATGGGTTTCATTGTACAGGTTAATCAAGTGGAATCAGAGTACTGGAAGAAGAGTGAGGGCATCAGGGTGGGTTGGAGTGACGAGATTCTGGGCTTTGATTGTGGTGGTCAGCAGTGGGTTTCTGAGACATGTTTTCCAACTGGCACTATTCAAAAACCAGATATGCAAGATTTGAAGTTCATTGAGCAGGTGATGGGTCTCATCAAGAAGGAAGGCATTCCTGCCCCATCTCCCATTGAACAGCGGTGGACGGCCAGGAGTCGAAGCCCCCTTAGTCCAGCTTTTGATCCCTCTCCAGATAATATTTACTCATGGGTGAGATATATCCTTGACCTTCAAGCGAAACAAGAAATGTTCACGCTTGCTGAATTCCATCTGTGTATACCAAGTAGTATGGTTTTTAGATTTCTTTAACGCTTAATGCGCCACACGTCTTTAGGAACGGTGTCTTAGGCTGTTGACTTATTAACACTTCATCTAAGGTGGCCTTCAGAGTTTCTTCCGAAAATGTCTCGGTGTCGTATTTTTGCTTAGGTGCTGAAATGTGGACTTGGATGGATCAGGTGGGCATCATTATGTATCTGCCCACAGCCGATGAAAAGCAAAGGGAAGCTATCACGCAACGTTTTTTTGAGTACCGAAAGTCTACACAGTATCTACTTTGGGATTCGTATGGAGCACATGAGCATTGGGCCAAGATAGAGGTAAGCAATGACTTCATGGTTTTGTTGTTTTGATATGCACCGGACAGACCTGCGTAATGCTCTATTTATGGAAGAGCTTTGTCTGATGTAAACCATTTCTCCCAGGTTCCTACGAACGAGAATGCGTTGGCGTGGGTACGAGAACGACTTCGACATCGGTATCCCCTGGACGAATTTTACAAGGCCCGGGAGCAGCTCGACCCAAAGAACATACTGGTGAATGGCGTGGTTGAGAAGCTGTTCCCACGCAAGAGTGCAGAAGCTGTTCAAACGTCAACATAGTTTTGGTATTCATACCATGAGCTGAAATGGAGAAAATGCTTGTCGTGGTAGGCAAACAAAGCGGGGATCTGTGAAATCCAACTCCAAGGTCCTGAAACATGGAATTTGTCGACGCTCTCATATGCAGTCATGCTGCAGCCTTGGGCACATGCTGGATAGTAAAGTTGTCGCTGTTCTCTGTTCAAGCTCTATTTGCACAACCAGTTCCAAGTAGGGGGATCACCAATAGTTTGACTGTTGAGCCTAACTTCACTCGTGAAAAACCATTCCAAATCATCGGTGCATGATAGTGGTCGCATCAGGAATTGTAACTTGAATCCGTTCTGGGGAATGTGCTGAAACACAAATTCTAGGCTCTTGATCCACAGGTGCGCTTCTAAACCTTCGAAGGAGTTTCTGACATGATCCATTGATCCTTGCATGGGCTGATTCTTCTACTTTTGCACCCACCTAATTATGCAACACTCACATCACGAAACAAATAATCGAATTTGTCATTCCAGCTTGAAGTCAGAGCACAAAAACGGCATTGCTTAAAATAGTCAATTCTACCGACAACTTTCAGAAGCAGCACATTGTGAAGTTTATTCTTAAACCTGCAGTTGAAGAGTGGTGCATTCTCCTTTACGAAGTGTGTTAATGGGTCACTTTGATGTACTCTTGAATCCACAGAATTCATGCTTTTGTTGTTAAACATCTATGCCAACGTGTAGGAAGGTTGAGAGGGAGAGAAGAAACTAGGTAAATCTTAATGTACTGTAACAATGCTGCTCTTACAAGAAAATTTCTTGTCCTTGGGTTTTCGAGTTTTGATGTGCTAACTTTGATTTTTGTTCTCTAATTTGTGAACACAACATATGTAAGGGCATACGATTTCCAATCTAGTTAGTGTTCTTGTATTTGTTCAAAAATATTTTTTGTAGACAATCACACTTGAAACATGATGTTTCATGTTGTAGTTTTACAATTCAAATTCAGATTGCACTAAAGAGCCTAATTTTGAAACACATAGATTAAATTATAAAACCAAGTGTGTAGCAAAAAGAATAAAGACCATGTTGCTTCAAAAATCAAATCATGATGAAAAGAATGAAATAATTCTTAGAAAATGGAAAGTAATAGTACGATTAACATTTATGAAATAAGCAACTTAATTCATCTTAATTTATGATATGGAACCTGATTAACAGTTAAATTAAAGTACTCACAATTCTAGAAAACAAGTTTAATGAAGTTGAATGCCGCAACAAACAAAAAAAATCACCAGAAGGCAAATTTTTACATGAAATGTGTAAACCGCAAGGTAACAAATTAATTAGGTTTCGCTTTGTGGTTGCAAGGTATCATAAATAAATATTATATACTTAAGAGCAGCTGCAAAACATTAATAATTTTCAGACTTTATTTTAAAAACTAGATACAAAATATTAACAAATTTTAACAGCTTTCCCATCGATGTGAATTCTCCACACACTCTATCAACGACGAAAATAATGATCCTCAATTCATCAAATCTTGGCACAAAACAAACAACCTCAAAACATTGCAAAGTATTTATTTGTTCTTTTCAATGTATTTGACACACACCATTCCTAGTGGTTATTATCTTGAATGCCCATTGAATAAGAAACATGCATCTTAATTTTGGCTTTGAAAATCCCCAACAGCGCTTGAAACTTAAACCAAAAATAAAGTTAGCGTTAGTTTATAACCTTTTTTTCAATTGATGAAATCACGTTTCATTCACTCAACTGGTTCATCCATCCATCTATACATCCATCCAGCGCAAGCTCCCGGAACTGACGCGATAGAACCTTCTACACACGAGCCTGTTCACACAGTGCCTGACCACGGCTACAAGGGATCGGGTTTGCGCAGGTCTCGTGGGGAGTTCCGCGTCGCAGCGGGAGACTTGTTGGATCGGTTGTTGTTTTTGTACTTGTTGTATTTGGATCGACTGCCGGGTTTGCAACGCAATTTGTCCAGGTGATGGTCGCACAGCTGATACCCAGTCTTCGCACGCAACGGGCACGTCCATCCTTTGCCATCCCTTCGATTGCACTGGTTGCCGAGCTCTTCCACGTTGTCCTGCTTCATGTGCGTCAACCGTTTCGGGCGCCCACTGCGAGAAGGTTTGCTCACGTTCACCGCCGCCTCCGCCTCACGCTTCAACGACAATCCACCCGCTTCACCCGTCTCTTTCTTGCCCTCCCTCCCCGTCTCTACTTCCATTCCCCTCCCCTCGTTGTCAGTGCCTATTGCGGGAGGGGAGTGAGTGACTGTGCTTGTTCTGGGTCGTTTTGATGTACCTTGTCGCGATGAAGCGGTTGCTTTCTCTTTCGGGCCAGGTCGAGGCCGTTCCGCGTCGCCGAAATCGTCCTCGTCTACAATTGCGTTACATAGTGCAAATCTGCCATCCTCGAGCTCCGTGAAATAGGGTGAGCTTCGTAATAGCTGTGCGATCTGCCTGGGGGAATGATACGCACCTTCATCTAAACCTGGTAATCCTTGCTGCAGAATCTTGGACACGGCTTCCGCCACCGTTCGGCCTTCCTTCCCAGCTTCCTGGTAAATTGTATGCAGCGAAAACATTAGGCTTTTCTTTGGCTGTTTCGCAGGGTGATCTGATGCCAAAAGAGGAGGTTCATCCTGCGTGGATGCTTGCAAGTGAAGTGCCCCTCTCTTTCTGCCTGCAAAAGATCAACGACAGCCAATCCTGTTTATAGCATGTCCATTTACGTCTTGGTTCGGTACACTTCCGTCTTGATAATAGTTTGAGTACCGCGTGAGCTCAGACGAATTGTTAAGTTGATGGACATATGCAACGCAAGAGAGAGCAAGCGGTTGAAGTAGACACTGGATAAGTTTGGATGAAACAAAGAAAGACCCAAAAGATATTGGCGAGTAATTGGACTAATAAGTGAACTTGTTTGTCACAATGCAAGACAGTGACAAGCAATTTGTCCTACCGGTGCATCGGGGATTTCGTCTGTTCTTCCTAAATCTGTGGAAACCACACAAGGCCAACAAACGTCGACAGGCACTAATTAGATGAAAGGAAAGGGTAGGACTTCACTCAGATCAGATTAACTAGAGGATTATGGTGATCGACAAAATCCGTTTGCTGCAGATGCACTGGAGCTGTATGTCCGCAGCATGGTGCTTGCTATTTTAGCAGATCTAAAGCCAACTATGTAACATTCAAAAAGTTCCACAATGTCTTGCGAAATGTCTCATCCTTTTACAGAACATCTGCATCGAACTTAGCACTAGAATGACCTTACACACGAAATGACGAGTCAAGATTCTGACACCGACAGGCTTTGCAAATACCTTCGTTCAATGCTGTCTGTGGAAGATTTCCCCGCTTCGCTCGGTGAAGATGAATCGAGCTCAAGCTGAAGTTCTGGTGAATGCTCCTCGACCTGTAGAATAGCCTCACATATGTCAATTTTTTTAAAAAAAATTTAAAAATAAATTACGTAGAGACCATCACCTCGTTACCTCTTCAGCGCGTGGGTGGAGACCAAAGAATGATGCAAGTTGAAACGATTCACGACATCGATTAACAATGTGACTAGCTGCAAAAGCAAGAGCCAATATATTTTCTCACTGCATGATGAAACCCAATGCATACAATATATCCAATGTTTAAATCTATCCTTCAGAAAAGAAATCTCCAGCAGGGCACAAAACGTAGCTCTGCAGACAGCATCGTTGGCAGAGATTAATATCCCGTCTCCGTCACAACATTGATCCAGCCCATCTTGAATGAAAACCTCGTCTCAAATATTCCTGTGTTGTTTTCTCAAAAGCTCTTTAATGACATTGCGGATTACATGCACAATTAGACGTTCTCGATTATATGCACTTCTTAAGTTACTCACGTCTTAAAGTGCAACGCCGAGTACATAACACATTCATAAATTTGAAGGAAAGGATCAATCGTCAAAACCAGATTCTGTCCTCATCTACATTCAATCATGCCGTGAAGCAAATGCCACCACCTTTTTCCTGTCACACATTCTTCATTGAGTGCGGATCAACAAGTCAACAGGAGATCTTTAACTCGCCACTCAGAAATATTCAACTTAAAGTCGAGGCAATATAGTCCATGTAGAAGAATGCCGGACTTACCGAAGCGCAACCTGCGATATGGTATTGTCTACACACCTCATCGTGGTCAGGCGAGGGTGAAACAGAAACATTCGGACCCTCCATTGTCGCATCAGCGGTGCCTGTACACGGCAAACATGTCAATAATGTCTGGCCAAACAAAATTGCAGACCAGGAAATGGCGAATACCTACAATCTTCAAGGATCTTCATATACAGGAATGTCTAGCGTACTCACAATGTCCTTTCCGATTATCACGTCTGATTGCATAGAACCCGCGCGCAAAATTCTCACGCATATCACCTTCATCACAATCTTCTTGGGTGTCGGCTACTGCTTTGTTTTTCCCACTAACAAGCGCAGGGAGCTTGTTACTCTCCTCATTCGCGCCCATAGGGCCTAGACGCAAAGATGTGTCGAGTTCAGCACTGGATTGCCCAACGAACGTCGAGCTTCCACCAGATAATCTTCGAAAATCTGGATCATCACTGTGCACTGTTGAAGATTGGCTATTCTCGACGGCATTTCCCATGCAAGCATTGCCATTGCCAGATAGGCTTGTGGGTTTGTCTTCCGCCGGGAAACAGTTCGTTCTGGCCAAAGAAGTTACGAATTCATCCAGATTCATGTGAGGTTCACCTGAAGGATCAAGCCTTGTGACCTGCGTTTCCTCCAACCATGTCGGGGCAGCTCGAGAAGCAAAAGCGCTTCTCTCATTACCACCCCAACCAAGTACTGTTCTTGCATCCTTTTCGTCAGAACCCCGACTATTGTTGTCTATTTCATTATTCTTCTCCAGTGCTCTTGGGCTGGATACGGGTTTCTGGTCGTCATTACTAAGCTCAGGGTATGCATTTAAGGATCCCCCTCTTGCATTACCCCTTGAGTGCTTGCGCATTCGCATTCCTTGCATTTCTTTTGCGACAGCCCTGGAATATCAAATATAGAGCCCTCAAAAAAAATTCCCCTACAATCCAATTGCAAAAACTTGGAGCGGTCAGATTCCACCAAAAGTTCCGAACACACGGCTCCATCCAAACTCTGTCAAGGACAAATGTGATCTGTATTGCTGCATCTCAAGACACAAGCATCCATTACTGCAGAAACACAAATTTGTGACCGAATTTCATACTTAGTTCTAAATGTGATCCCTCTTGACGGAATGCAGTGAATCCTAAACCCCAGAAATAAATCTAAGTTCGATTCTAACTCAACAAAAGAAGTGAGGCGAAAAGAAAGAGCGGTGCGCACCGCCAGAAATTTACAATAGAAAATACTTTTCGAGTACGAGCTGCTGAAGGACAGCAATCCGAACCAACATTTCTCAAAGACAGAAGACAAAGATCTACATCAATCGTTTCCAAATGCAGTTGCGTACCATCAATACAACAGAAAATCCTTCTAGGTCAATCGCAGCGCATCGAAGCCCTGCAACTAGATTCTCCGTCCTCAAACCAAAAAGTGGAGAAGGTTTCATCAACAGGTGCTTGGGATGAAGAGGCTGGGGATTCCACACGAAAGCAGCTTATCGCCTGGATTTTAACCTAGCCGAAGCAAGAAAACGCCCTTCAGCACTACCACTCTGCCTTCGCATTACGAGGTTCCTGCCTATTCCCTTGGTCGAAGTAGCGATACAACCCACAGCTTCTCCTATCGTACGCAGTCATATAACCAAGCTGGAAGAAGTTGACAATGACGGAGACGGTTGGCTCCAGCTGCAGTTTAACAAACAATCACTAAGATCTCACGACTTGTATCCGCTACGTGCCAATGTTACTTATTCCATAAAGTATCCTACTCGCTAAACCAACATTCTCCGAGGCCATCACCTATCGGAACCATGTCATTTTGATAGACACATCTGATAGAAGTGTAGGAACTCGCAAGACTTGTACACAACAGATGTCCCAACACATGGAAGTGATTGGATGCTGGCGGCGGTGAGGCGGCAACCCGAACTTGCAGTGAAGCTTCTATGTCGGGTGGGGAATCCCCCTACACCGTTCCGTAAAAAGGAAATTGGCACTTTTTGGATTCCCGCTCTGGAGGCCGCCATGTGGAACCCTGGCCTCACGAGACTCATCTGCATTTACTCATGCACCGACGTTAGATATTCTGTCAACTGTACAACAGCATGTCTCCCCTCGATCTGGCGAGTTATAGTACACGTTCATGAGCCACTTGTCATCTAATAACCACATCTACCCCATTCTAATATCATTTTGCTTTGATTCATGCACTCTGTCCTCATCATCACATCCTCCAATGTACCACTTCGGCACATCCCAGGAATCAAGAGAGAGATGGGGAAAGCCTGTGGTGCTCCAGCTTCAACCCAATCATCTACATCGACACGAGTCACGAAACCACAGAGTGAACTACACCGCATCACTGCAACCTGGGCTTGAGGAACGCTAGCGCATCGAGCTCCGATTAGGGGACTCTTCCCCAATTTGACCTCCAGGGAGCTTCTTATCGAGTTCCTGCAAGTTGCGGTGGATATACCTGCAGGATACGGAGCCAGGCTACGTGTCCGTGGCCATATCTCTGCATTCACTGGGGATATCACACAACATATCATGCGTTTCCGGTTGTGCGTTCTGCGATGGCGTGAGTCTCACGACGCGTTCCAGATGCCTCCTGACTACACTCCCCTCCACGTGGTTTCCACTGTCTCAACCCCCACCCCCCTTCTACAGACCCAATCTTCACCACCACGACTGAGAACTCCCTGCGAAACTAGGATCCGAAGCCCCGAAATATGTTAATACGCACCATCGTCACTGTGCGAATCTTCCCGCTGCTTCACGAGTGTTCGCTGTGTTCAGACGCTGGTAGATTTCGCACAGGCTGGATGTCCTCCACGTGGAGGGCACTCAATTCGCCACGTGAGAAGGCACCAAGTGGAAAAGGAGAAGCGCCACAGTGGCCAGTTTCAATCTGATCTGGACCCCTTGTAAGTTTCGGTGTCTCTTTGTTTGAGAGGAGGTGCATCGAGCGCGTTCCGCTTCCCTCCGCGTCCCTTCGTCACCAATTCCTTGCCAATCTCGCCAAAAAAATTTAGTGTTTATTTTTTTGTTTGCCTTCGCGATGACGCTATCAGCCAAGACTCGGGTGTTCGTGGTTTCGTGCGCGTCAAGGGAGTGGGAATCAACTTGTGGGTGAATGATCTGTTGAGAGTAGGAGTGAAAGGGCTGATAGTGCTCAGTGTCACCAGGTGCAAGAGCTCACAGAGTTCGGAGAGTTTGTGAGGATTTAAGGCGACATTGTTTGGAGAACGTGTTCTGCTGGGGATTCTAGACCGTGTTTGTAGCTATCCAGCCGAAGTGGCAGAGTTCATAGTTGCGTTCACAGAGTTTTGCCGCGTAGTTGTGGTGTTTTGTTGGGAGGTGTTGTTGTAGGGTTTTCCGGTTTGATCACCATGCCTCGTTCAAAGAGTTCGCGAGGGGGGTCGCGTCCTCAGAGTCGGCCCTTTTCTGCCCCTGCAACTGTGAACCGACCCCCACCTCCACCTCCGGCATTGGTGCAACAACAGCAGCCGGGTATGATGAGGGGCATTGGGAGCACCATTGCGGAGGGGATGGCTTTCGGAGGTGGGAGTGCTGTGGCGCACCGGGCTGTTGACTCGATGATGGGCCCCCGCGTTGTGCACCACGAACATGCACAGGCCAACCAGTCGTCGACGACGACGTCTGCTGGAGGAAGCCAGGAAGCGGGAGCTTGCGTGAATCAAGTAAAAGCGTTCCAGGATTGTTTGACGGCCAATGTTAATGACATAAGCAAGTGCCAGTTCTACGTGGATATGTTAAATGAGTGCCGAAAATCGGCGGTGGAGGCTTCCCAATCTCCAGGTTGGTAATACGGTAGCGTCCGAGCGTCTGGATGCGCGATTGTTTTTGGATTAGTCCGAGCTTGATATTCAAATTAAGCGTACTGGCGACATCCGCAGAGTCAGTTTTTGCAAAAAAGGCTAGATGCTGTTTTTAGGGACAGAATCATGTAAATATGAAAAACAGGCACGGTTGGTGATTTCCGAGGAAATTATTTCTGCAAATTTTGCCAGTGTTCAGCAGTTACTCTTTTCTTATCTATTGCTTGGGAACTGTGGGCAATAGTGCAGCAGGATAACTCTGCTCGAAATTTAAGTTGAGAACAGTTTTAGAGAGTTGAGAATGTTTTCATGAAGGTAGGCTGTGCGATCACCTGCTCGTGACCTATCCCAAGTGACTATACTTATCTTATTTGAGTTGGGCTTTGCAACGCTCTACTACTGTGCTAATTTTTAAGTCTAATCTTGTGTCCCAGTATCTTGTTCACTTCATCCCTGGATGCCACAGCATAGGAATGAGAATATTCTTCTGTTTTTGCACTGTTAGTATGTGTTTGGTACTACTAACTTGCTGAGGAAATGTTGGTCGTGACAGAATAGTGAAGTACCGAGTAAAAGATTGGATATGCTTGTGCGATTTTGCGAAGCGAATCCTACATGGTTTATTCCTCTCTTCTATATCGCTCTCTGCGACGAATTTCTGAAATTTCGTTGGCAATGGACCAAGCCATCAGACTCTATTGATGGTTGTTAGTATACAATTCATGATGGAATTTGTATGCGAAAATGTGCTATTACATTATGAACTGCTGCAAGCATGTAATAACTGCATTTTGCAGTGATCCTTCTTTTCATATTTACTCATCCCAGCCAATGGAAACACAAGAAAAAGTGACTTTTGCCAGAGTCCAATGACAGAATACTTATTTTTTATGATAGTGCCTTTAGATAAATTTTAACTACATATCGGAATCAACATTAGGATTTTCAGAATACTTAAAAACAACATCAATTTAATATATTTGTTCAATAAATTCTTATAATAATTGTAATAAATTCAATCATTCAGTCAATAAATTAAGCACAGCAACGAAAGAGATATAATGTTGCTTGTGTAGAATCAGCAATAGAATAACTAATTGCTTGCAGCAATTCACAATGTACACACAATGTTTGTTTTGATAGGCGAACAACATCGGAATAATATGCTCTACGGTCTGCAGAACCTAGACCAGAGAGGAGAAAAACATCAGCGACTAGGTTTCCTAGATCCGTATGCAGTGGAATTGCTACGTCGAATTTGGCACATGTTTCGGGTTACTACGAAACGATCAAATGTAGAATACAAACTACTTGAAGTACTAAGTGACATCTCAATACATTCGAGTTGATATATGAATCTTTTGCCTTACTAAAAGAATTTCACCAGCCTGAAGAATACCGGCCAAGAACGTTTATAGTCACAGTTCCCTCAAGCGCTTGCCACTTTCTTAGCGGCCAGGAGGTCCGAGATTTTGGTTGTATAAAAATCGGGCTGGATTTTGTTTTCAGGGCTTTGCAATGTCTCCAACGTGGTAACACCTGCGAAATCCTAATGCATTAGTCCCTCACGAACTTCAGAGAACAACAGAGCCCAACAAGTATGAGCAGTGCATTCTAGCTAAAATTCCCAAAGAGCTGGCCTTTTTTACCTGATAGTACCAACAAAGTTGCGCAGCCCCCATTTTGACCGAAAAGAATGTCGGTATCCAAACGGTCTCCCACCATGCAGATCTGCGAAGTCTTAATGTTGAACCTGCCACACCACAAGTCAATCCATTAAGAAGATAGAACAAGCACACGAATGGACTACCAAACACCAATGCCAAGAAAAAAAATTGGAACGTCAGTAAGAAGATTAGCCAGTTCAAAGCTAGATGCTTACTCCGATGCAAGGTAGTCCATCATGAAAGTGGAGGGTTTGCCAACCACAAGTGGTTCCTTCTTTGTCGATCCTTTGATAGCACCAACCATCGAACCACCTCCTGTCATCCGATACCAACCCACTTGTTATGCTTTTTCGCTCAAGAGAAATCGGATCACACTTAAGAAGAATTACATAGAATATTTGAAATTAGACTTTCAACCTCCAGGGAACAGATAAACGAATACGAGATAAAGGACACGTTCGTACCTGCCCATTCTTGTGCATCAGTTAAATGAGTCACAGCGTCGCAGTTGGTTGCAATGAACATGCAACCAGGGTTTTCACGAATGCATAGAGTTGCGTACCTAGTATTACCAAAGTGTTACTTGAAGTGACCTAATTCAAAACCAACACAAGAACGTGCTTGTACACTTGATTTATTAAGCAGATAAAGCTCAAATGGGGACTAATTATGAGCTACGTGTAACTAGTAAAGAGTCCATTAACTTACTGAAGCTTGTAGTAGTTGAGGTACCGGTCGAAGCCCACCACTACAGCTCCGACCTGTAAACAGTTGTCTTCTGTCAAACCCCAACCACAAAATAATGGTAGGTGCGCTTAATAAACTCACGACTTAAGTGATAAACGCAGGAATCTATTCAAGTATAAGATCTCTGTTATACTGAACATACATCATGGTCGTGCTCCATAAGTTGACCGGGTGCTAGGTCTATTCTTTTGTCTCCATCTTCCTGCAATAACACATAAACAAATACGTCATAATTGTTACTTTCTTACCCCTGAACTCCCTTACTATGTCATCAAAAGCAAGTGGATTCAAACTTCAGAATTGTAAGAGCGATACATCAACAACCTCATGCCTAAAAAATGAATAATTTGAAGAAAAAGTACGGTGCATGGCTTACAGGTCCTCCAATGTAATTGATGCCTGCTTGTTTGAGCTCCAACTGAATACCAGCTTCACCAATAATATACACCTGCGTGCAAGTTGTGTGCAAGATTTGTTAGAACTGTAGAATGAAGCGATGGAAATGTAACGCATTGAGGGATAGTAGTATCAATGGCAATTGGCTAATCAGCCATGTACGTACAAAGCAAGTTCTAGATTTAGGTGTTCATTCTCCTTCTGGTTTCAGTTTACTAAGTGATTCGGGAGAGGAAAAGAAATACACTATTACTGTACTGTACATTGCACACAGTGATCAAAGGTGTAAGATTGCTTGTTGTACTTGTACTGGACGCAGTGCATTCTTCTAAGATCTGATTCATGCCACCTTGCACACATGGAAGAATCTTTGCAGCACGGTTACTAGGCCTAAAACCTACCTTCTTGTCTGAAGGAAACTTGATAGATTTCAAATACGCGGCCGCAGCAAAAGATGACGCGAAAATTTCCTCCTGCAGCAGTAACGGTAACAACTGTAATCAGCAAACAATGAGGCAACAGCTACTACAGTAAAAGTAGTTGAAGAGATCGTCATGAACGAAAATCATCAAGGCATAAGCTTCCACCTCAGAAACGCTTAGTCCAAGGCTCTCGAACTTTTTCCCGTACTGCTTCCTTGACTTCGTGGAGTTGTTAGTCACAAACACCAAGCGCTTACCCTGCATTCCAGCCGATGCAATAAACGCAACAATGCTCTTATGTAATACTATCTCAAGAGTTGCATCCACGGAAAGTAGGTAAATGCGACCTTACAAGGAAGCAAAACCGTTTCAAATGCAATGGATTTCCCATCAAGACTTCTTTCCAACCTGCTTTAGTGTTCTGCTATAATCCCAGCATCATTATGGACTTGGATTCTGGACATGGGCCAACATCAGCATAATAAAAACAAGAAGCTACTGCAGTAGATTGTGTAGTGAATCATAGGCGGACTACTAAGGATTGTGCGAGAAGATGACAGACTACAGCATCAGAGGTGATGAACAATGGCCAGAGTTGAGTTATATCACCACTCACCATTGACCGCAACATGTCGAGTGTCTCCGGCACTCCCTCAATGAGAGAGTCTCCCTTCCATATAACGCCTGCACAGAACGTATTCTAATTCAATTCTACGAAGATTGCTCCTACAAAAAGTGGGCGAGCTTCATTGCATTCAGACTCCATCTAAATTTTGCACTAAGGATGCGTCGAGTTACAGGAGGGATCTCTCCATTGAGTTGCGAACCAGAAGAAATTTTTGCAAAGATTAACCTACAAAATCTAAGGGATAGGGCATCACGTACCATCGCAATCGAAGATGAATGTCTCCACACTGTCAATTAGCTTAGCATGGTCCGTCAAGAAGGGAGCCGAGGCAGTGGCTTCTACACAAAAGAATCTTCGCCATTATTTCAATTCATCAAAAAGAAAAAGAAAATAAAGCAAAATAGAGCCTCTCAACAAACTAAGGTGCCACGTCAAAATGAGCATTAAAACAAACGTATGCTTCCAAATCTCACCAGTCTCAACTTGAGCGGAGCAATTCATGCGTCCTCCGGACGAGCTGACCATTGGTCGCGACGTGAGCTGCTGTTTGACGAGATTCCGCAGGGACGGGCAGCCAAAGACAACGCTCTTGGCAGTGCAGGGAGGTGCAGCTGCGGATGAACGCAACAGAGGAGAGGAGAGGGACCGGAAGGGAGCCACGCAGATTGCCATAGCCCAACCCCCAACAACAACAACAACAACAAATCCGCGAACAATGCAGCAAAGAGGGAGGGGGCGATTGAATGAGCAGCTCTGCTCTGCTCTGCTCCGCCACACTGCGATTTCTGTGGTGCCGGATCAGCTGTAAGCGATGATCATCGTGAAATGCAGAAGACGACTCCAGTGGAATGCGAATGTGGAGAGCTGCGTCCGACCCACAGCGCGCCCTGCATCATCGTCAACAAGGGGCTCTAAATTTTCGAGAAATTGCTGGAAAATGAGCCAAAATTATCTCGTGAACCTGATTCACCGAGAGCCTCTCTTCCGGTGGGTCCCTCCCCCACCTCCTCCTTGCGCATCTGGATGAATGAAACTTATGCTCAAGGATGAATGAAACTCGTACTCGTGTATGAAAGCGACCTCTGGATGTACTCCGTGCTCGTAGATGAATTAGTGGCTCTCTGTTCATCATCTCTCTACCAACCATGAATGCACAGTTCGGGAATTACTTGTATACATGTATTTATTTATTAGATCAAATATAGTGGAAAATTAGAAGTAAAACATGATTAAAACGATAGAAGGATTATTGTTTGTGATGATTCATATTTTAAGAATGTATGTGTATATATACTTTTTAGTATTAATTATGCAGAGTTTTGGAGGAGTTGAAAATATTGATTGGGTAATGTTTTTAAAAAAATTTGGTGTACAAATTGCTTTTTGGCATTTTTTGCTGAGTTCTTGAAGGTGATTTTAGTATAGGTTGTAACAGTTGTATTTTGTTTACGAAGTAACCCAATGAACAAATTCATACACCAATGAGATGGATATGTATATACAAAAATGCATTGTGGCCTAACTGGCAGTACTTAATTTCTTTAAAATTACTTTTTGGTCTAATTACTCAAATAGTATTAAAATGATTGTGATAAACACCGTCCCTGCGGAATCTCTTCAAACAGCAGCTCACGTAAGCTTATTTTGACCAAAAAGTATTAAAATGATTGTGATAAAGTTATATAAATTGATGTATTTGGTTGTGATACATCTTATGGTTTTTAAACAAATAAATAAATTCATATAACATTATTTTCATCAAATATTCATTCTTTTACTCAAAAATGCTATATAACCATTGTATTGTATTAAATTACTTGATTTGAAATATATATATATATATATATATGACAAGTTGTTCTTATATTTTTGATCTATTTTTATGATAGAAGTTTGGTTTCTCTTCTTTGTTCTAAATCACTCAAATATATATATATAAATATATATATATATATATATATATATACACACACACTATTTTATGTATATAGAAAAATTTGTGTGAAGTATGCTATAATAAATCAAAATCATAATTTTATTATAAAAACTCAGCAAACAAAGAAATACTATCTGCTATAAATAAAATTAAATAAAAAATTATGTATAAGCATTATACTAAATATATATAGTAGAGTTAATAGACAACTAGAATGGCATAAGAAAAAAAAAATCAAATATCAAAACTTGCTTTGATGATAATTGGTTTACATGTTTTACAATCCTTACAAATACAATCTTAAAAGTATAAGAATAATTCTTGTTATAAATTTTGCAACTTTTATTAATATTACCGTGAATTTTTAATGAAGGCTATGCATTATTATCTCAAAACTTGTGGCATATGTTTCAGATTAGTTCTCTGCCACTCTTTTGTTTCATGCTTTTTTATTTAGTACACTATAGATTAAAATAAATTACTACTACCAATTAGATTGCTTTAAGTGCAAAACTCCAATTATCTACAATGTTCTAAGATAGCATTCCTCATCTTTTAGCATAGATTTGTTTTGGAAACAATATCCCAATACTTACCATTTCTCATATGTATTCAAATATGTATTCAAATATATATATATATATATATATATACATATTTTGAGCATTTAGACGGTGTCAGAGCGTCACTCCCCAACCAGCACTGTGGTCGATGAATTCGGATGCTGCATGAGGATTTGGCATGGCACTGCAACAAATCCGTTGCAGTTGTGGTAGTTTCCTGTAACAAAAATCTGCGGAAGTGGAATTGTGAAGTTGTGAATTGGCAGTGAAACAGCGTCGTGGGTGTTCATCGATCATGGTTGGGTCTAGATGATGGGAAAGAAAAACGCCGAGGTCTGTTTTCCCCTCACACCATGCATGCTGCTGCTGCTGCCTCGGTCAGCGATGCGGCACCCGGCGCGTGAAGCTCCCGAAGAAGTAATCAGAGACTCATCCCCCCCCCCTCCCTCATGATGCTTGATGACACGCAGTTTTGCGGCAACGGCGACTCAGTAGGCGCTGCTGCCCCGACCATAACCTTGTTGTCGAATACCGTGGAGATCTCAACGCAATACCGGACCTCTGGCGCAAGGACGTGTTCCTCTGCAGGAGCACCAGCGCTCTCGGATTCAATTGCCTGCTCGTGCAGAGCATTGCTGGTGGGTGTCACGAAGAGGCTCGAAGCGCTGACTGAAACTGAAAGGAAGTGGACCTTGCTGTTGCTGGAAGAAAGGAAGCTGTTTCGAGATCGAAAGCTTCGGAAACCATGCGAAACAACAGCGCGTGAGTATCGTTGATCTGAAAAACAGCGGCATTGTTGACTGCCAAGCACGAGGAACTTGCCACTTTGTATTTATTGCCTGTTTCATTTCATGTTGCACCATCGCATGTTGTGTTTTCTTGCGTTTTGTTATATTTTGTTTCATTCATTTGTTTGGTTTTTGCATGTGGTGTTCCTTTCATGTTTTTATTGCATGTTGTGTTTTAGCTGAGCTTGTGGATTGGGTTGGAAAAAGTATCCTCTCATGGGTTTGAAAACCAGTTGCGTCATTTGCAGTATGAGTGTGAGAGGCTCCTACTAGGTCCTAAAAAAAAAAAAAAAAAAAAAAAAAAAAACCGGTCGAAGTCAAAGGTTTCCGAATAAGGCGTAACAAATTAAAATATTTAATATTATGGAAATATTTAAATTATGTGCTATTGCCCAAAAAAAAAAAAAAAAAAAAAAAAACACTTAAGAATACATGCATCATTTTTTAGATGGTTCAGCTTGAAATATAGAATTAAATAGTGAGTTTGTTTTAGGATTATGGAGTATTTACAGTTGTTTGATGAAACAATACAAAGGAGCAAATGGCTCATTATGGTGTAATCTTTCTATTTGACATACGATTTATTTATCCAAAAAAAATTACAGTTTATTTATTTTTAAAAATAATTAAGCTAGATTTTTAAATAACTTCCAAAAATTGTTTAATGTCCATTTCATGTAAAATTAATTAATTTTTTTGATAATCCTATATCATATAAAATTAATAATATATATATATATATATATATATATATATATATATATATTTGCGTAATAAAAATAAACAAATAAATTCTATGGAGATAAATTAAATCCTTCCATTAACCAAGAATGTAAATGAACTTGGGGTGTGAAATTACAATTATTTTATATGGAGTTTGCTTAAAAAAAGAGTTTGAATAAAAATGTTTCTAATGCAAGAAGAGTTTATTTGAAGATGATTATAATGCTAATGGTGTTTTTAATTTAAAAGTAAAAATTTTATACATATGATTCTACATAATAACTGAAGAAACTAAATTTACTAGCTAAAAGATTCAATTTTACTCAAAACAATCATCAAAGTTTTCATTACACAACATTAATGCATTACATTACAATCTAAATTCTTAGATGAATATTTAACCTTTAGGGACCTTTTAGTGGACATTACAACAATAAAGTTTATTTCAACTAAGATTGTGAATTTATTTATTTATTTTAAATATATTCTATTAATAAATAAGTAAATACAAGTGATTAAATTTGAATGGAATTTGTTTGATTAATTTTTAAAACATAACTATTATTGCAAATTTTTTCATTACCAATTTATAATAAAAAAATTTAATAGTCTTTTTATATAATATTGTAACTAAAATTATAAGATGGATATTTTGGTTTTAAGAATATTTTATTAAGAATCACAATAATAAATCTTATAACAAAATGAGCATAATGAAGAGTTTGTTTCTTAAGCATACAGACACAATTGAGATAAAAAAAACTAAACCATGATCAATGCATAAAATATTAAAAATCTAACATGTCTATGTATATTCTTTATCACTCATTTTTGTCTATTGTTTACATCTACATTTATTCCTCATTTAAATAAAAAAATTAAGCTCCAATCCAATTTTGGTCTATATACTAAATAAGTCTTTGACCAAAAGACTACATCTTTATTTTATTTAAATTTATTTAATTTTTTTCATCTTCTTCTTCTTAGTAATTAAGATAGTGTATATATATATATATATATATATATATGTGTGTGTGTGTGTGTGTAGAAATAATCTTTAACAAGCTTATATAGTTTTTTTATTCTAATAATAATAATAATAATAATAATAATAATATATTAGAATTAAATTTATTATATATCTTATACATTTTAATTGATATAATACTTTTTAACTGTAAACTAAAGATGGTTTAAATATAATTAATCTATTAAAACATATAGAGTCCAACAAGTTATATTTTTATAAATTTATTTTTAGAATCCCTACTTAAAGCTATTTATGATGGACTAAAAGCTAAATTTAACATATAAAATAAGTGATTGATGAATTAATCAATTATATTAACATAAAATAATAATATTAATGATATGGTTTTTATATTAAAAAATAAATATTTAAAAGAGTTTTTATATTTATTTATGTATAAATATAATTGTAATAGAATCAAAAATAAAAATGCAAATTTAACAAACATTTATTACAATAACGCATCTTAAAACCAATTCTTGCAAATTGTAAGTATAGATCTTAGAACTTTAATATTTATCTATAGCTAATTGTATTTAGCTTTGTTTTTATGATTATTTTTAAGATACACTAAGTTTAGCCAAATGATTTTATCTATACATACATTTGTATATTGAATTCGATAAAATTAAAAAATATCAATATTAAAAAATTGTGTAATTTTTTATAATTTATAAAAAATACAAAAAATAAAGAAGTTTAAATTGATATATTTAAACTACAAAAACTACCCAAAATTTTATAAATAACAAACTCATATATGTGTGTGAGTATATATATGTATGTATATATATATATATATATATATATATATTTACTCATAACAATCTGTATTGTTGGACATCGCTATCTTTGGCACTCCCATCCATCTATTCTCTTGTTCATCCATTTCATTCATATTTGATTCATGAAAAGACTTCTTTGTATCTTTATCTTATACCTAAGTTGTTTTGTATAATAAATATTTTTATTAACACATTTATTTAATGTTTTGAACGTAGTACTCTTCAATAAATGATTAAAAATATGAATAAAAAAACAAGCAATTATGTAAAATCTCTTTGTTTGCTAATGTGTATATATATATGTATGTATAAATGTTTGTTAGTAAAGGTACAAAACTGATAGAAATAAAATGAAAAAATTACTTATAATTTTCAAAAAATTAAAATATTTGAATCATTATGTTGAGAATAGTAAAAACTCTTGTATCAATAATAACAAAAGGTAATTTCAATGCAACACAACATAATCAAATAACATGTAAAAAAGAATGTTATGTTTACATGTCACCACCAATAGCAACGGAAGTGGGTTAATTGTGCAGAAGAAAAAAAGAAAAAAAGAAAAACAATATGTCCCATGGGCAACACATACCCAATATGGAGAACAGTCACAAAGACTACATACAACCACAAGCCATGATGCAAGAACAACAATAACCACAACAACCCCCCCCCTCCAGGGGCGGTCATGGGGGTGCCAACAGAGCTGCTACCTGCAACCATCGTCACGGTAGTAGGATGATGGGAGTTGCAAGTTCATCTGCAACGAAGCAGCGCCTATCTCCGCCCCGTCTCGCTTCACCGTGCCTTGGCTTTGCATGCCTGGGTGGGTGTGTGTGCATGTGCGTGCTTGCTCCCCTCCTCGCAGCGTTGCGCTTTGTCCATGCCTTGCTCTTCCCACAAATGTCTGGCGTTTGCGAAAGACGGCAATCGAAATAGCTCTCTGGGTTTTATTTGGTGTTGAAGGAAACATTTGGTGGTAGAGGAAGAGGAGGAGGAGGAGGAGGAGGAGGAGAACTAGGAGGAAGCGAGGTGCAGAGGAATAAGAGTCGTTGACTGTATTGCAAGTAGGTTGGAGAAGTAATGGCGGAATCGAGGAAGGAGAGGAGTTAGTAGATGGGTGGCGATGGCACTCGGTTTGTTTGATTGGAGAGCAGCGGTGTTTTCTAGAATTGAAGGGAGTTGGTTCGAGAGCTGGAGGAAGGTGGGTGATGATTTTACGCGAGGGTTGGGTTATGAAGAGGATCAGGCGCGGGGAACTCTGTGGCTGTTGTGCTTGGCGGCGGATTCTTGGAGGGGTTTCCTCACTGGTCGTTGATTGGTAGGTTGGATTCATCCCCGACTAGGATTGTTGGGTTGCTTGTGATTGTAATTGGGGTCCGTTTTTATTATTATTATGATGGTGATGATGTTGCTTATTGTTATTATTATTAATATGTCAGTGGCCTTCGTCGAGCTATATCCGAATTAGTGCGAACGAGTTTCATTAGCTGCTCGTGAAGAGAATTAGCCCTGAACAGGAGTGGCTTTTTTACGTTTTTAGGTTCAGTTACTACAGTAATCGGTTGTCTTATTTTTGTTTACTCGACCAAAAATTTGTGTTCCAGAGGAGGTCCAATGCAGACTTTTTTTTTTTTTTTTTTTTTTTTTTTTTTTTCCGATTGTGACTGTGGTTGGAGAGCGTGAGTCAGATTATGCTACAGAGCTGGACACCACCATATCCGATTCTACATTGAGATGTGTAATTTCTCATTGGCATCAATTGTTTTGGAGACTGTGCAGTGAGGGTAGGATTTCGATCATCTACTTACAAAACAGACACACTCATGGTTAAGATGTGTTTTCTCTGAGACATTGTGAGATAACATTCAAGAATTGAGAATAAGATGTGCCGTAATGCAATATTAACAAGAATATCGTTTTTTTTTGTATTCCTATTGCAACATTTTGACCTGGTCGATTTCCTGAACATTGAGACCTTCAAGCAGGTGGATTTAATCCATTTGGCTGATTTTTTACTTACAGAAAGTAATTTTTTTGATGTATGGTCTTGCCTCTGAATTTCTCGGTGTGATTAAGGGATCCAGCTCTTTAATTGCGTGATCACAAATAAGTGGCTGCGAACCAAGATCGAAGCACAATGGGAAAGGGCGGGGGGAGTGGCGGAGATTATGAAGCATGCACAGTTTGCACTCGTGTATGTCAAACCACTCACGGCAAAGGACTTCCACACTCTGTGCCGAGATTCCTGAAAACAATACCTGAATATTCTACGCCGTCCAACAAAAACTGTAACCTGGTGAGTTCCTTTGCTGTCCCGATGCTGTGTACTTTGTGTCGTAGTTTCGATAGCTGCGATTATCTGAAGAGTCGTTTCTAATCATCTGAGCGGGTTTCTTGCAGCAAATACCTGCTGCATATGTCAGAGAGCACATGGGCATGAGTATTGAAGAGACTTACATCCTGGAGGATGTCACAGGGTCCGAATGGGTGGTGATTTCTAGCAGTGCAACGTTGAAAAATGGCTGGAAGGCATTTGCAGTTGATTATCAGTTGGAGAAGGGAGATCAGATTATGTTTGGCCTCGTTGCGCCAAAGCGCTTTTATGTGAGCGTGTTTGACAAATCCGGCATGGAGAAAGTTAGCACCCGGCAACATCTGAACAGTATGGGTTCAACGGGTACTGCGATGGATAAGGAAAGTGAACTGGCGCCTCAAGTTTCAAAACCCATGAGTGGAGGTGCAGAGGATCCATGTACTCCCATGAACTTGGCACATTCCAAAGGAGCCACTCGTAGGGCAAGATCAAATGATACTTCTCAGCATAATTCTCAGTTGCTGGTATCCAACGATGTCGGCGCACTTCCGTCTCGGAATGCCTCCGATCAAAACGGGAATCAGAAAGGAATCTTGTGCAATGGGGTATCTATTAATAGCCATCTCCCTAACGAACCAGTGGTAAGGACTTTAGACTCGAAAACACTCAATTTTGTAGTACTTTCTTCTCGCCTAGTCTGGTTTTTACATGGGAGGTCGAGTATTTGTTCAAATGAGACTGCTTGTTTCGAGATTGATAATTTGAGCCTATTACGTGCTATTCATGTGTAGGACCGTCACGTGACGGAAGGTATTGTAATGAATGAATCGTCTGACGAATCAGAAGACTCGGTACAAATGCTCCTGGCGAAGGCTGTCCTCGCAAAGGCGAAACAAAGGAAACTGAATAAGCGGAAAATGAGCTGCCACAATACCCGTCAAGCGAAGATGGCACTAGAGGCAATCAGCCCTGAATGTGTATTCAAGAATGAGATGTCTCAGAGCTTCGAGGATAAAATAAGGGCAATGAAATCGAAGTGTAGGAATGCGGAAATTGTAAGTAACAGTTTAGCGAGGTTGAGCAGTGATAATGTAACTAGCAGCCTTAGGGATGATTTTGCCACATCACATGATGGCATTGAGGCTGACTTGGCTATACGTGAGGAGCCTCTTGAGGATGGTAGAGTTTTGATGAATGGGAGTAGTCGCCATCAAGTTGGAGTGTCCAAAGCTGGTGTTGATCTCAGAAGAGATGAACCCCATAATCATCACGATAGGGTTAATGGCCTACCAGATGAAGTAATGAAGGAGATCCCTCTTCCAGGTCACAAACAAAATGATGTCATGACTCAAATGACAACTCCTAGAGTGGCGACTGCGCAGGATCCCATTTTAAATGGGGTTCAGGGTGAGGAGGCAGAACGTAGCGATCAATTCAGCCCTGTTTTTGAACCAGCCTTGGTAAAGTCGGAACCTGGTGTAAGCTTTGTGGAAGATTTGGGGCCTGCAATGGTAGCTGCTGGGGCACACGTGCATGAGAACAAAATATGTGCAAACTGTGGTCTTCCTACTGACGCAGAGAACCTCAAATCTGAATTTGTTACGCCAGAAGTCTCAGAGATTCCGAAGGACAACAACCTCATACTTGACGCTGTCACGTCAGAAGAGCCAGAGTCTACACATGCCAAAGGTCCAAATTCGAGCGCTCCAATTCCTTTCTCAGGAGATGACAGTACAACAGAGTACCAGAAGCGGTGGGCGCACGAAGCTGCAAAATCCTTTTCGGCCAACATGAAAAATCCAAGTGCGATTATAGTGATGAGAAGTAGTTTTGTCAAGAATACATACGCATGTGTGAGTTTGTACTTCTTACGTTTTCTTTCAGCTTTTTTTATGATGATATGAGGTGGATTGTATGGACTAGGAGACATTACTCTGGCGTTCTGCGATAAATAGTGCAGATAACTTCAGCCTGCAGATAGTGCCTTAGTTTCTTGACCTTTTATTGCCTTGTGCTACCTTGCGGATGTTCAATGTTTCAAGTACACCTATTGATTTCCCCATTAAGCTTCAACTGATGCAATATCACTTGGGGTGGCAGTTCGTGACAGTCAAATGTGCAGGATTACTTCCGACTAAACCTGCAGAACTGTCCCTGGTGGATACCGACGGCTACGTGCGTAAAGCCAACTGGAGACCTGGGAAACGCTACATGCTAGGTGCGGGCTGGAAAGACTTCGTTGAGACGCACAATGTTCAAGAAAGTGATGTCTGCGTCTTGGAGTTGATTGACAGGTCTCAGGTAAACTGTAAACTTCTTGTCCACGTCTTTCGTGCCCGTGAGATGGAGAGAGAGCACGAGCAATCAATCCCTGCTCCTGGAGCCACACCTGTAATTGAAGCATCTCCTCGGGCAAGGACTCACGCAGAAGGAAAGCGAGGTAGAGCAGCAAATGGTCTTTTGTTGCCTGGCCTTTTACCATCCACCCGCAAGCGCAGAAAATCGATTGCGAAATCACTAAACAACGAAGTCGTGGAGATAGGGCTTCCAGTACCTTCAACATCGCCGGATGATGAAGTAGCGGAACCAGGTTTAACTTTTGAGCGAGGCAAGCCTACGAAACAAGGATCGGCGACGAAGAGGGTGAGACGACACTCGATGTCTACTCATACACAAATCAAGAAAGTTGCAAAAGATGAAACGAGGTCAAGCCCCCGAGGTGCGGTGGTGGAGAAGCAGCAAGACTTGCTAGCAACACCAAGTCAGAAGTCTCATAAACATTACACAGTTAAAAATCTAATCGATCGGCGGAGGGGATTGCAGGGTGTATTGTTTTTGGTTGAGCTTAAGGAAACAGTGATACTCCAGGGTGGTAGCAAGAAGAAGCCAAAGATGAGTGCAACGCAGGATGGGAGAGGGCGATGGTGGGTGCCGCATCACCACTTCAATCACGATTTCAGCAGCTGTTATATTGAGTGACTGGACTGCGTATTTGTGAATAGATGATTGTCTTTTCAAATTTCACAGCACGCATAGCTTATAACAGACTTGGGGTGAAGAATCGTGACACTTGGTTACTTGATAAGACATTTTTCCAGCTCTCGGAGTTGCCTCCGCTCGCCTCTGAAATGTAAGTTGAATCCTTGGTAGGTTATGTACCTTTCAGGAGTTTTTCTCATTTGTTGTTTCATTCAGGTGTCACATATGCAGATATTATCCACCATGTACGAGCAGGCTTGTGCCGGTCATATTGGAGCCGTCTTTAGATGCGAAGAAGCGCTGCGTGAGCCAATTCTCATGCCTACCCGAATCTACCCATGAGAATATGCAGCAACCGCCTCCGCTTTTTTCTTGAAATACCCAACTCCCTTTAGATCTGACTTCACATAAATGCCACTTCTGCAATGCAATTTGGTTGTGCTCAAGATTTTAAAAGAATAAACTTTTCAACAATCATAACCATAACCTTCCAAATCTCCAGTGGCAAGCTATGTGACAGCTGACTACGCCCCAGCGAACACCTTAACAACTACACTCTTATAAGTAAAACCAATTGAATCAGTCAGAAAAAGCTAATCAGTAATGGGACGCCAATGCTTTCTAGAGACCTGCCCATTCACACCGCAACCACACACAACATTGATGGACAACCACATCATCAAAGCTTGACAGTGACAATGTCATCTCCTGAATCCACATCACCAACAGTCTGGAAGATGAAGTAATTAAGCAGGTTAGTGGAGGGTTCAGCAAACTCTGCAGGATACTTGTCTGAGCCTTGAACATGTGCAGTGAGTAAGCTCGAAGCCGCATTCCTGATTAGATTTCAGTGAGTATCTGTGACAGTGTTCAGGACAAGACGATCCACAGGTACAGAAGGAGGGCCAGGAAGAATCCACCCGACTGAGGATTGGGGAGGATGATTATTAGAAATTGCATACGTCTTAAGTTGATAGTCAAGTTCAACCCAAAAACTTTGAGGATGATACAGATCAAATCCTAACACCAGTTCTAGCATTTTTGGCGGGTGTTCTGTCATGCACAAACACATCCTACAAACAATACATTGTGCCAACAAGTGAGGAGGGTTAGGTTGTCAAACCACACAGTAATATTATTGATGCCTATGCACAAGCACTCTTACATCCAATGCACTGTGAGATGTGATAACATTGTCATACTAGAAATGAACAACCATCAATGGAACCGTGTGACTACACTTTCTATTCACAAGATACTAAGTGATTTGCAATAACTTGCATAATCATCAATAATACTCCAAGATTACACCAAAGAATATCAATACCATAGTCTAATACTTGATGTATGAATAAGTTATGATTACATAAACACTCTTGTTGTGTGATAACATGACTAAATGGTGAAAGATAAAAACATGGATTTTATTATAGAAGAGCCTAGTAAAAAGATATAGTAGCAAAACATGGATAATTGATAGGAAGGTAGTGAAAACTTTTAGTATTAATGCTGCATTTTTATTAAAAAAAAAAGATGCTTCAATTTACTTTGTAAGACCATAAATAAGGTAAAATTAAGTAAATTAAGAAAATAAATCATAAAAGCATCTTTAAAAGGAAGTTGAAAATAGATTTTAGAAAAACTTATTTCAAAATACCAAGAATTGATACTTGGAGAGGATTGGTTGTAAACAAGGGTCACAATCAGATCCTAAGGAATAAAACCATACACCTACAATAATTTTTGGAGTATTTTGATTAATCAAAGAGTGCAATTTGGGAGTAGACAAGTAAAAGGTTTTTTAGAACTTTGTTTCATGTGATTTGGAGGTATATTGAATTTTTGAGGGCTTTTCAAAAGGAAAGATGTACTCAGTGGATTTGGATTTTGAGAAATAAAATAAAGTTTATAATTTTGAGAATTGTGCAAGTGTTATAGCATATTTGTAAGTGAAACTTTGCGAGTTTATTATTGTGCTTGTTTTAAATGTATTTAAAAAACCTAGTGTTGATCAAATGGTAGATTAAAGGACATGAGAGTTTTATGAGATTAAAAACTTAGATATTTGAAATTTAGGATTAGTAAGGGATTTTTGTGATCTTAAAAAATATGCTTGTTTAATTGAAGCAAAAATTGGAAAGAGCAATTTGGACTTACGGATCTACATATTGTCTAATTTTTAAAGCAATTAAATAATTTAGCAAAGAAAAATCATTACTGAAAGATTAACATTCACATTGAAGAAATAGGGTAGCCAACATCCGAGAGATATAAGGGCTTTTTCTTTTAATTGGTGATTTCAATTATTGATTTTGATTTTCTTCAAATTTTTTATTCTTATTAATTTCTTATAAATTGAAATGTAGATGAAATTTAGTTGAAATGAATGGTTTGATTAATATTCATTGAGATTTTAAAACAACTATAAGAATAAGTTAGGATTTACTGAGGATTTTCTTGAGTTTGTTTAAGGGTTTGTTTGAATTTAGAATTTGACTAGAATTTGATTAAGATTTTATTAGGATTTAATTAGGATTTGGTTGCAATTTGATTAGAATTTGGTTAGATTTTGGTTATGATTGATTTAAAATTAATTAGGATTTTGGTTAGGATTTAATTAAGATTTATTTAGGATTTTGTAAATATTTTTTTAGGATTTCATTAGGACTATATTAAGGTTTGATTAGGATTTATCTAGAATGTACTTAGGATCTATTTAGGATTTTTAATTTAATTTTCTAAAAAGATTTTATTATCATTTTTTAAAGGTTTTTATATATTTAATATATTTTAAAGGTTATTAGTTTTTTCTTTAAATATTTTATTTTAATATTTATTTAAAATTTATTTATTATTTTTTAAAGATTAATTAATGACTTCTTCATATTTCTTTAGTAATTTTTTTAAAACTTCTTTTTGATTGGTTAAAGTTTGATTAGGTTTGTTAAGGATTAATTAGAATTTATTCAAGATCCTATTAGACTTGTTAGGATCTTGTTGTTGCATTTTTTTTATTTACCTTCCATAGCTAGGTGCCCAATACATTCTCAAGCTAAAATTCATGTTATATGACATAAATGGTAAACTTGACATAAAAGCTTGTGATGGAAGGTCTTGGAATTTGTTTTGTTTTTTTTTGTTTTGTTTCTTTTTGATTTAATGAAAAAAAATGTAAGAAATTTGAAGGAGCTATGAGAAAAGCTTCAATTGGAGCTTTAAGTGGAGTTGCAAGTAGAGATACAAATAGAGCTTCTAGTGGAGTTTCAACTAAAAGACAAGGTATATACATAGATCCAACTTTTGTACGTATGTTTCAAGCTTTTATATTGTTTATGCAATAACAACACAATAATGATAGCAAGGAAGCTTTGGTAACCAAAATATTATAAGTAATAGTTAATAAAGTTGATTAATTTGATGGTAGAGATATTTTAAAGTATTTAAAATGGTATGTGTAAAAAATAGAATTAAGTCACGTTTTTGAAAAGAAGATCATTGAGTTATTTAGGCTTGCTAGGATACTTGAGATAAGAGAATATGTTATATCAATTATGAAGCATTATAAGAGTTCATAGGAGATATTTTTACATGTATGAAAAGACAAATATTTCTTTGAAGACATTAATTGTGTTACTAAGAAATTATTTCTTGAATGGATTAAGTGGCATAATAAGAATTTTCAAGCAATAGAGCTATTAAAGAAATTTGAAAGATAATATTTTTAATTACTAAAGGTGGAAAAATTAATACTAAAGCCAAATAAGGTTAAATTTTTTCTTCAAGTTGCTGATGGAGAATTACAAGAAAAATCAGAGTTGCTTCTTGAAGATAAAGGAAAAAAAAGAAAAAAGTAAAAAGGATTGAAAAAAAAGTAGAAAAATGTTAAAGATGTTATAGATTTACTGGTAAAATAAAAAAAAAGAAGAAAGGATAGAATTAGTATTCTAAAAATAATACAAGCACCTAAAATTCAAGTATATATTATATGACTAATAACATCTATTGTTCAACCTTCAACATCTACATCAAAGAAAGAAGATATGAGAGGTGAAGAAATTATATGTGAGATGCAGAATAGTGAAATCAAAATTGCAAGGTTTGAAGAAAAGACTTTTATTAATAATTTAAAGGCTATTTTAAAATAAAGATATATATATATGTAAAGATGCATTTGATATAATGATACTTTTTATATTAGGAAGGATTACAATAAATTCAATAACATGGTACAACAAGGAATTATTTTTTGAAAAGATAGAAAAGTGATATTGAAGAATACATGAGACCTTCTTCAAACCAATTTTGGCAAAGAATGTATGAAAGCATTGTTTGAAGATTATTTGGTAGTACATGGAATTGGAATTCAAAAAAGTGGAAGTTATAGTACTAAGATAGATAATAACTTCAATAAAAATATAGAAATAAGTGGATTTTGGACTTTTGCCATTTTTACTATGCAAAAAAAAAAAAAAAAAAAAAAAAAAAAAAAAAATGCCACAAATAGTATTATTGAGAATTTTTGCTACATTATAGGATCAACAAATTGGAAAGAACTTATAGAAGTTCTTTTAATCCATACATATATTACTAAGAGTCAATATAAAGCCTCAATAGAAAAAAATAGAAGGAAATAATTTAATGATACAAGAGTAAGAAATTCTAAAAAGCAAACTTGAGGAAATAAGATTCATGAGGCAGCTTCACAAGAATTTTCTATAAAAGATAATTCAACACTATTAGAAGAAAAAGCAAAAGAGACAAAATATAAAAGTAAATTGATAGCTTATAAACTACTTTTTAATATTGAAGTAGCAACAAATTTGAAAGGAGTATTGAAAGAATGTATACTAAATGCTAAAATAGAATTTTTATTAAAAGAAATTTTAGGAATTATAAAGAAAGAATTTTATGATGTTATTATTAAAAATATTAAATGAAAGAAGTAATTAATGGTTGAAAATAGAATGAACCATGCTATTGATACAAAGATATACAAGGATGAAGAAGAGGTTGATAATTGTTACAACCAATTAATGATTGAAAAAAATGGTAATAATTACAACTACATTTTGAAGATTACAGTGACAAGGAAATAAAAGCTTTAAGCATTATACTTAAAAACATTAGGCAATAGCAACTACAAAAGTATTGGTGAAAGTAGAAAATATAAAAGAATTGATTATTGATTTAATTGATTATATCAAGGACATG